GATGCTGAGCGGACGAGAAATGCACCACCAATGCCGGAAGGACCACTGCCCAGTCCCAACGAAGAACCCGTCTTCTCTACCTTCAACCAGCTGGAGTCGACGCTACGACGCACCAAAGGAAACAAAGCGTCTGGACTGGATGAGATTCCGTACGTACTGTTGAAGATGCTCCCTAGGAAGGGTAAAGCCTTTCTACTGAACATATTCAACTCATGTCTTCGAATCTCATACTTTCCTACCGCATGGAAACAAGCGATCGTTGTACCGTTACTCAAGCCGGCGAAGAACGGGGACTCAGCTGAGCACTATCGTCCGATCAGCCTCCTCTCGCACATCAGCAAGATATTCGAGAGGCTAATCCACCATCAGCTTATGAAGCACTGCTGGAAAGAGAGCATCATACCACCAGAGCAGACTGGTTTCCAGAGAGGGGTCGCGTGTGAACACCACTTAGCTAAACTTCAGGCCCACACAATAGATGAAATGAGTCTCAACAGAGCTACGGCGCTCATCTCTTTGGACTGCAGTCAGGCCTTTGACTGCGTGTCACACACGCATCTACTTCGCCGTCTGGAAGAGTTCAGGTTTCCTACCACTCTATGCCGACTGATCCGAAGCTACCTCAGCGGAAGATCTCTCGTCGTACGAGTTGGTACAGACTACTCAAACCCAGTCGATACCACCTGCGGAGTACCTCAAGGGTCTGTGTTGGGGCCAATACTGTTCGTCGTTTTCACGGCGCCAGTGGTGGCACTCAAGCATCCAAAGGCGGTGGTAGCAGCCTATGCGGACGACATTGGCATATATGCTTCCAGCATCAACGCGGAGACTGCACTCACTCTGGCACAGAATGCTTCAGCCACAATTGTTGAAGAGCTAGAAGAGATCGGTATCAGAGTGAATCCTGCGAAGACTGATGCTATTGTCATGTCGTTTCAGAAGGGAAAGAAGCATCTACCCACACAATTCACCGTTGGAGGAGTTTATCATAAAATTTCTACCTCGATTGTCTACCTCGGCGTCACGCTAGATAGACATTTGACCTTCTCCAATCACGTTAGGCAGAGGATCAAGCTGGCACGAAAGAAGTCGCACCGGCTCTACCACCTACTGACGTCGCCGCAGCTCTCGCTGAGACTCAAGCTCCAAATTTATAAAGCTGTTATAAGACCAACACTGCTCCACGGGGCCCCTCTCCTGCGATACCTATATAAATCCACGCTTACGAGTCTACAGGGCTTCCAGAACTCTATCCTTCGGCGAATTGTCCGTGGCACCACCCTACAAAGGGCTAAGAATCAAACAATACGCGAGGAGCTCCAGCTCCCCTCGGTACCTGAGTTCATAGGCCGGAGGCACATCAAATTTTTTGATGGGCTGAAGGCCTGTGCAAACCCACTGTTCAATGAGATCTCACCACCACCCAGACCTGGGAGGTGGCAAGGTAAACTCCCTTTGGTGGACATACTCGCCGAAGGATGTGGTCTGGTCTCTGCGGTCCAAACTCATTAATTTGTATATATTGTAAATAATAAAACATTAGCAGAACGGTCCTTCCCCGTTCAATGTCAAAGTCACAAGGCCTTCTGCCACATATGTAACCTTTAGCTATCCCCAATCCTTAAAATGCCCTCGGGCAGTGGAAGGAATTTATTACATGTTTATATTGTATTATTGTATACTATATATGTAATTGTTTCAATAAACTTTTTGGAGGGTAAGAAAAAAAAAAAAAAAAAAAAAAAAAAAAAAAAAAAAAAAAAAAAAAAATCCGTAATTAATTTAGAAAACAATAGATTAAAGCTTAAACATTGTTCGAGATGGTTGTGCCCAATTTCATATAATATGTACAGCAGAAGAAAATATTTATGAAGCTATAGCAATCGTTTAATCGATTTCTTAATTTATATGTCGATTTTTGTTTTATTTTGTCATTAAGATTGATTAAATATTTTGCGATAAAAATGATAAACATTTTTGTTCAAAAACAGGTTGGAAAGCAAGGCGTACTTGGCAAGTTACAAGTTGTGGGCTGAGGCTAAGCACGGACTTTATTTATGAAACAAGATTACCCTCGAGGGACTAGGTAGATGGACGGTCGGAAAAGTGAGACCCGCTTTTCCAAGACCACTTAAACTTTTCGTTCTTCGCCGAGAACATTTCCACAAAGTCCACAGCCGTAACGAGGACCGAAAGAGGTTTTGAGAAGATGGGATTGTTTTCCACTGAAAAAGATTCATCTCAATTATTTGCCTCAAAATTGAACGTGAAAAATTGTTTTATATTTAAATGTATCAATATCAAAATAATAAATATCTCTGAATTTGGTTAACTGTTTTTTATCAAAGTAAGTTTTTTGACAAATATTTATTATATTAATTTTCGTTATGGTAGTTTTCATTGATCAATAAATTCTTTAATGATCCATCATAAAAAAATTAAAAACCCTTCACAAACAATGTTGTTTTTTAATAATTAAAAGTCAAAATGTTTATGTATTTGTTTTCGTACATATATATCAAACAATTTTGTTGATGTTTTAATGGTGTATTGCACTTTGTAACGTCATTAAAGTTGTAGTTATGTGTAGTTACTAGCTGCGTGATTTTGTTGCATGTTTATACCAAAAAAGAGGATAGCAAAGAAATTCTGAACAAAAAAAATATATATATAATAAAATAAAAGTCTTTTATTGGAAACGCTTATATAATATCTTGAAGCGAAGAGGAGAAATATTATTGAAGAAAATAAATTAAAAGAACAAATATATACTTATTTTTTTCAGTTCATAGAAAAAAATCATCTGGTGTGCATATCACAAAACATTTAAACTAAGAGATATACAAAGTTCAGGTCTTCCATCAGGACTGATCTCACGAAATGTTCCCGTAAGATCATTTAATATTTGATATAGGTAAGATCAGTAAGTAATATTTTACAGAAACGTTTCGTGAGATCAGCCCTGCTGAAGACCTGAACTTCGGGTCGAAACGTCGGCAAAAATAACAAAATTTTCTTTATTATATGAAATTTACAACTCTTTACAAATACAACTAGTAAATATGCATAGATAAAAATAATGACATTAACAGCCTTGAAGAGATACAACCCAGTGGTAGCACTCCCTAAATAATTCTAGATAAGAAGATCACGAAGCCATCTCCTTTTCAGGCGCCCAGGAGAACTATCAGGAATCTAGGAAGAAGCAGGAATGGAAACGGATTCGGAAGTGGATTCGGATGGGACTGGAGTTTATCATGAAAAGATAGATATCTGAATCGGGCTAAATCAGCGATATATGGTACATTAAGGTCTTTATGAATGGTTTTATTTTTGACAAAGTATGGAGCATTAAGGATTTTAAGAAGGATTTTGGATTGTAAGGATTGGATACGAAAGAATTCGATGGTTTGGTGAAGCCCCAAAGTTCAACTCCGTACGTTCATATAGGTCATATTATAGTTATGTAGATAAGTCTTTTGTTAATTAATTGAAAGTTTTGAGAAAAGTGTTGGAACAGTCGGAAACGTCGAGCAGTTTCTTGTCGTTTCAGTCTAGTATGAGGATTCCAAGTAAGACGTTTATCCAAGTGGACTCCTAAGTAGCGTATTTGTTCAACAGGAATAAATGGAATATTATTGAAGGATGCTGCAGGACAAGAAGTCATAGGTTTAGGACGAAGAGTAAAGGTGATTTGGTAGGATTTATTGGAATTTATTTTTATCCTCCAATTTTTACACCATTCTTCAAGGCTTGTGATATGTGATTGAAGCGTTTGGGATGCAATTAAAGAGTCATTATTAACAGATAGCAAACATGTGTCATCGGCGTAAATGGTGATGACGTGTCTGGATGGGTTGGGATGTCGGCTGTATAAACTATGTACAGGATGGGACCGGGGATACTACCTTGTAGAACGCCTGCATATTGAGTAAAGAGGGATGAGCAGACATTATTTTGATTTACTTTGAAGTATCTATCAGTAAGGTACTGATAATCAGGAAGTATGTAGGGGGTAGGACTTTTCGGGGTTTGTACAGAAGACCCGGGTGCCAGACTCGATTAAACGCCTGTTCAACGTCGAGAAAAACTCCCGTACAGTACATTCCACGCTCCAATCCAGAGGAGACTACATCAACCACACGATGACATTGTTGAATAGTGGAATACGATGTGCGGTATCCAAATTGGTGATTAGAGTCTAGGATGGGGTACAGGCGTTTTAGGAGGAGTTTTTCCAGGATTTTGGCCATGATAGGTAATAGAGAAATATGACGGTAAGAGGATGGGTGTTCGGTTGGTTTTTTAGGTTTGTGTAACATTTTGACAATAGATAGTTTCCAAGAATCAGGAAAATATGTGGATCGCAGCATTATAAAATAAAAATTAATATCATTTATCTACTTTTACTTCGTATTTTTCACTAAATACCCCAAATAACTTCTCTTCAATTAATCGCTCCAGTCAAACATCACTTCACTATTATATGACATTATTTCTTTGATGAAAAAAAGTTGGTTAGTATTTTTTGTTTGACAGGCCCTCATATTTAGTAGCTGTATATGCGTTATAATTCAAATAGAGAACATATTGGGTTTTGTACGTGGGGGTTTCAGTTGAAAAGAATCTCACAATCCACTAAAAATTCATTGAAAATACCCTTCATCCTCTTGATTTTTTTTTATAACCTAGTATTTTAAATTTATCTTTGTGGTTAAAGATTCCAGCAGCTTGCTAAAAAAGACAAAACCGGTCAGAAAAACTCTTCCCATTTTTATCATGTTTTATATGAGACTTTTAAAAAACAAGTTTGTAATCTTCCTTTTCTGTCATATTGATGGTATTAAATATTCCATTTCGAATAAACCTCTTTTTCAATTCAACAAAGAAACGAAATCTGATTAGATTAGAATTTTCATAAGTATTACGCTCCTATGGAATCTCCATCTCCCCCCTCCCTTTCCATGGAATATCCGAACTGAAAGAGATTCAAGGGATGAATGGCCTTTGTAGGGGACGCTCAAGCAATCGGATTTCGTCGGGCGCCCTTTCTATTGAGGAAAGAATGGAGGTGTCGGGGTGGAACAAAGGAGAAAGAATCGACACAGCTCTCTATCGATGGTATTCGGCTATCGATCCAAAGAGGAATCCAGGACCGTTCTCCAGTGTTGCCAGCGGCGAGATCAAAAGATCACATCCAGGATAAAAAAAGTCATAGCTTAACCACAAAACGTGCATTCTAAAGAGTCTCAAAATTTTTAGTTATGGTTGGCAAAAAAAACTGTAACATCCAAAATACCTACAATAAAAACGTACTTTCGTAAACACAACGGACTTTTTGTTCATACACTAAATTTGTCTAGACAATTTTTTCTAGACGCACTCAAACCAATTTGTGATATTGGTTATTTAGACTGAGGAGACTTTAAAAGGTGTATTTTTGTTTAAAACACGGATTCTAATTTTTCTTGAGCGCAAATTTTCCCTTATCAGACTGCCGGATACTGAAGGGGGGTCTTTCGGAATGAGCCCCACCAAAAAGGAAAGATATTTTTTTATTTTTGCTCACATTTGCTTCGGTGAGTGATCTAATCTAGATAATTAAAAAATCACAACATGTACTCTTTTTTTTAAATGATAGCATATAAACAGCGAGTAAATGTAAGCACGTACACAAAAAAAATATTAAAAAAATTAATTGTGTGTTTATGGTTGACTGTAGTGAATAATTGAAGAGAAGGATGGTTGGGGTGATCAGCCAAAATAAAATGGTAAAAATAAGTAAATACATTTATTCATTTATCATCAGAAATGTACTTGGTGACGTTTTCCAATAAACCGATGATATATTTGTTGACAGTTATTTTAAAATTATGATGATGATAAACAGCCAGGATTCGCTGTGTACATACAAGTTTCATGTATTTCTGTCTATATATTATAATACTGTTTTTTTTTTTTTTTTTTTGTTTTTTTTAGCTCTAATGATGACCCATATGCGTGGGAAGTCGGCAAACTTTATAAAACATGTCTAGCCTGCATATCGTTACTACTGACATAGTTGTATTTATCACCCTTAGTATTTTTAGTAATTTACTCGTTTTACTGGAAGGTCTTTTTTATGGTGTCCTTTCAAATGTACTAAATACTTTCTCTTAATTGCTGCACTCTGACAAACATCAGAAACGTCAGCAATTAATTGTGTTAATCTGTCCTGTATAATGCAGCGGTGTTTCATTCAGAATGTGGCAGGGCTAACCATTCGGTATTAAATACAAGATGATATTATCTCACCAGATGTTAATCCCTCCAAGAATACCTGGCAAGATTTATATTCGGAGCATTAAATGTGACACAACCTTGTGGCCTGTTGGCAACATAAATCCATGAGCTGGTCAGCTACGGTGACTTGAATAGCAACTAGAAGCGAAAGCGAACATGTTCATGTCCTACATACCTTCAAGGGTGGATCAAGGCAACTGTGGTTCAGAAACGTCTGGCGAAAAAGATATTTCAGAACTAATTCAAAGTATTAGCCTTATTTTTTAATTTATTTTCTGTAAAGTGCGTTATTAAATAGAAAAAGTTAATCATTGAATTCGATTTTGAATGGTTACCACGACTTAATGAAACGGTCAAGCGGAAGAGTGAAAACAACGGTAAAAAAGCGATGATTTCTTAAAATTTTTAAAAAAGACCATATTTTTTAAAAACTAATTATGAATTTAGATATTTTGCCACCTTAACTAGGCATTTCCATATCTCTCTATGTTCAGCTATTCCTTTCCATTCATCTACCTACAGCTAGCTCTACAGAATATTTGTTGATTCGATATATCCACATTATTTTGGGCTTTCCACATGGTTTCTTGCACAATTGTGTAAAGGCTTCCTGACGGATTGCTCCGAGCTATATGTCCAGCCCATCTTAACCTCCTTGCCTTCGTATCCATGAGATATTGATTGATCAATTTATGATAGCAGCTCTTTATTGGCCTTTCTAGTGCACTACTATTAGAATAAGTCTATTATTACAAGTCTTTCTCTTCTACTATTTTCATTATTAAAATACACCATTCCCTATAGTAATCTGCTGATGCTCACCATGCAAACGACATTATAACTCAATATGTTTTACACATTACATTATTGAACACGTGAGTAATACTCTAATTGATTATTCTGCAATAATATGATATTTTTAAAGTTTGGCATTTAAGTTATAAAACCCTATAATTCGTTTATTTTTGTTCTTTGAGGTTCATAAACTCCTTAGAAGAGTAACATAAATTTTATTTAATTTAGTTATGTACATTTCTATATTTTGTTGAGTGATTTATGGGTAACAAGATAAGAAGCTATACCATACTCGGATTTCGAACCGTCAGTATAAATTAAAAATGATTCTGGTATACTTTGTAGGAGGCGAGAGAATTCAGGATTGTACTTTTAAAAGTTTAGTTATAAAACCGTTATTTAAGAGACTATAAAATTATTTTATAAACTTCCAATATCTGATTCTAATTCTTTATTTATATTTATAAATATAAAATGCATAGCTTATAAGAGTTTTAAAAAAAAAATTAAATATATAAAAATGTTAGGTGATTTAAAAGTGGTATTTTATGATGAAGTATGAAATTACAACACGGTGGGTGATGAAGGAGGTAAGTTTTGGCAAGTTTCCGGTAGCACTTAACTGCCAGAAATAAATAATCGCCATTGGAGCCCAAAGAGAAAAAAATATATTATGAATTATTTATCCCCTCGTACGTTGTCTCTGAAAGTTTTTTTTTTCAGAAGAGAGCCAAATGTGAAAGGGGTCCTAACCTGGGGTGATATCTCAATTTGATAACCTTATCCTCCCAATCGTTAATAATAATAGATATTATTAATTATTCGAATAAAATATTAATATGAAAATTATATAATAAAACTTAGTTAATAGTATTTAAATAGTGAACTATATTTAAATGAACATACCGATCATGGAACTTTGATCCCATCCATTCATCTATCGAACTCCACCATAACCGAAATCTTCAAGATCCAGGACTAATATAATCCTCCCACCTACGTTTCAGACGACCACTAAGACTCCTACCATTGGTTTAGCGCTGATTATAATCGACTCCTAAAGATAATTATCTTGACAACTTTACTCGTCTATTTCATTTACCGTAACGGTATCAGCTGAATTATATTCATCAGGTGTATGTCTCACTGTTTAGGGGTGTATTTGTTACTCAATTTTTCGACAAACTATTTTTGGTTTAAATATTCTCTGAAATGATCCGCTTTCGAAAATCGTAGCTTTCTCCACTTTATCCGAGCGGCCACGTTGGCTTAAGGTAAATACCGGTGTATTTCTAACCAGCTTGTATTTTTTTAACAAAACACGTTACGGCCGCTATCGAATCTAAATTACCCAGCTTTGATTATCGTTACGTTTCTTACTTAAGTATATTGTTTATACTTGTAAACAAAAATACACATTTAAACTGTATAAAAATGATTGGGCTTTTCAAAAAAGCAACGAATCTGTTTCAGTACATTCCTTGCCGAATCTGACGGTGCTTAGCTTGTCCGGCTGCAGTAAGGTGACTGATGAAGGAGTGGAGCTAATCGCCGAGAACCTCCAGAAGTTGAGGAGTCTGGACCTGTCTTGGTGCTCCAGGATCACGGATTCAGCCCTGGAGTACATCGCCTGCGACCTCAACATGCTGGAGGAACTTACCTTGGACAGGTGAGAATTTTTTTCTAATATGGATTTTTTATTCTTTTTAAGTAAAATGTTTTTATGCCATATTTCATCTTAATAAGGAAAGTATGTTGGTTGTGTACCTTAATATATATATATATATTTTAAAAGTTATATAGTTTATTCAACTATTAAGCTTACTCCTTAAAATATAAGCCATCACCTCCTCTGAGTCGAGTAGTTGATCAAGGGTTTGATAAACAAGACTTAATTTTGTTATTAATGTTAATCTAAAATTTTGAAACTAAATCTAGATCTGTTCAGCCCATGTAGAACCACCCTTTCTCTTAATAAATACATAAAATAGCAGGGATTACAAAAGTTATATTTCCTAAATATAAAATGGAAATGGATATCAATTCACTTTTCAATATTATACATTCTTATTAAAAGTTAATGGCACACTCTTGTCTTCAGGGCAGTGATTGAACAATGTACAATGATAATAATTGAACAATGATTTTTAAAATTTGAAAATATTTATCATTGTCCAGTTCCTTAGGGCTGTTATAGGACTGATTTCATGTAATTTATTATAAAATTAATATAAATGAATATTTCCATCCTCTTTTATTGTACATTTACTACACTACATGTTTTTATTTTATAGATTAATAACGTACTCAGTAACGTAATCAGTAACTTTACCAACAACTATATAGTTTTAAAACAGCTTCTTATCTCACCCTGAAAATGAATATTTAAAATTATATCCTATGATATTCCTATTATATACTTATTTAATTTGTTTTCTTTCACTGTAATATTTTTAAATCATTGCCTGAATTTTCAGAGACAAAAAAAAAAATTGTTTATTTTACAATGTCTAATTTTTGGGTGTGCATTATTTGTTTTTCTTACCCTGTTTATTATTATTAAGAAGTATATGTACTATTGAGATTTAAGCAGGGATCTTCTTCTGCATTGGTCAGAAGTCTAAGGTTGGTGTTCCAGTTGAGGGTTTCTAATGTAAGTAGGTCACCATAGTGTTCGATGAGTCAGGAAAGGTCACTCTGCTACAATATTTTTTTATAACATTAATACATAAATAATATTTATATGAAGAAAGAAAATAGTAATTGGCAGTTTTTCAATTTATATTTCGTGTTATAACACCTATAACTTTATTATCTTAATATCTATTATTTCCAGGTGTGTTCACATCACAGATATCGGCATAGGATACATATCAACAATGCTGTCTCTGTCAGCATTATTTTTGCGATGGTGTACACAGATCAGGGATTTCGGAATACAGCATCTCTGTGGAATGAGAAATCTCCAAATACTCTCCCTTGCAGGTAATTGAAAACATATGTGACTAAGTAATTATCTTAATGAATTTAAGATATCATATTATTACAGTGTATAATTACAACTATCAATTGTTGAAAGAAAAATGTCATTATAAAAGACAAATTATAAACTATAGATCAGTTATATTTTAACCATCCATTAGCAATCAACTGGATATCAGCTGAATGTTTAAAAAAAACAATTTACCAAATATTTTCCCAATCAAATTTATTTTCATTATTAAATTTCCTTGTTGCTTTTATAGTTAATATGTTAAGATTCAGAATTAAAGATTTAAATCTAATTTTACGTTTTGTCAGCAGTTATAAGCACATACTTTTTTTTCCCCACCAAAGTTGATATTTTATATAGGCATAATGTAATTTTACAATTAAAATTAGAATTAATTTTGGGATATGACTTATGTTTTATTTAAAATTAATTATTCATTATTAAGGATATAAAAGTTTTTAAAATAGTGACAAGATAGCAATAATATTACGAACCTAAAAATAAAACAAATAGTTCTCAAAGTGCCTAATATATAAACACTTAGTAAATGGCGTAAAAGGAAATACTATAAACATAATACATCAAAAGATCTTTCTTTCTTTTTACCTTTTTTGAAACAGTTACATCTGTTTTTACTTTCACTTACGTATATATGTAATATATAGTATTACTTTCACTTACGTATGTATGTAATATATAGTAAGTGTAAGTATTGCGATCGAGAAAATTTTTGAATCTGAGTTTTTGAGGGATTTATACGTTTTGAGGTACTCTGAGTCGAAATGACCAAGTCCCGACAAATGATCTGTGTGTCTGTATGTTAGCAGTCTAGCTCAAAAACGAAAAGTCCTATGAAACTGATATCACGTATTTAAGATAGGTATATACCTTAGTTGTGACGGCAACTTTTTCCTTGAAATCGGCTAACCGGAAGTGCCACTTTATATCAACGCTGAAACACATTTTCACAGTTTTCTCAAAAACAGCTCAAACGATTTTGATTAAACTCGGTGTATCATTGTATAATTAAGTGGTCTTTAATATAAATTAGGTCTTATCCCCATTGATGTCACTTTACAGGGCTTAAATGCCCAAAGTTCATATACATCTTCCTCTAAAGTACCTTTAATATGGTTTATTTTAAAAAGATAATTATTTCACATTATTCACAGTTACGAAAAAATTCTAAATATAACTTTTGAAAGAATTTGATAAGTTAATAAAGGAGAAAAAAAAATAAAAATGCAGAAAAACGTAGCTATAGACTGTAGCGCCTAAACGAATGTACCGATTTCATTGAAACTTCGCTAAAGTCATTTTCTCGACACCCTTCAAATTTATTTATATAACATTCATCAGCGAAAAGAAGCTGAAAAAAGTATACACTTTTTTGGGAATGTTGTATATTGTTTTCTAAAAGTTTATGGAATAGCCTAAAAAACCAAAAAAAAAATCGTTAAAATCGGATAATTAGGAGATAAGATATGGTCTCTAGTTTTTTTTTTTAATACGTTCTGCTGGAATGGTTATATCCTTTGTTTCGGTTTTTGAATTTTGAATGTGTTAATAAGGTAATGCTAATTTTTTTAAATGTATTTAAAATCCACCTAAGCAACTTGATGGCATTGTTAAAAAAACTATTTCAGTCTACTTGTGTGAAAGAAGAAATAAAATATAAAATCATTTCATGGATGTATAAATCATGTGTTTATAATATTAAATACATTTACTGTAGTTTAGTAATTATTTATTAAATTTTAAATTGGTCCATAATCGTCTTATCTTTTTGGCTACATTCAAGGAATTGCTGTGTTATATATGTGTGCGATGTTATATTGCGTTCCTGGCGTTTGAGAATTTAAAGAGAAAAAAGGAATTTTCTTTTTATTTTGGACAAGTGTTTATTATGCTATGTCTATTGTTTAATATGGCTTATTGTTGATAATTTGTAAGAGTATTGTTATGAAGGGGGAGAAAAAAAAATGAAAAATATAATATAAAATTAATGTCCGTATGGATTGATAACTATGTGTGTATCAACCGTATGTAGTAGGGCAGCATTACTTTTAATAAAGTATTTCTCTATAAATAATTAGGTATTGAAGTTAATTCCAAAATATTGTCATATAACTTTTTAGAAAACTAAATTAGTGAATAATTCGATAGATCTTCTCTTTGTGATATTCCTCTACCATTTCATTGTACTTGTGTGAAAAAAGAAGTGAAATACAAAAATATTTCATAGATACGTTTATAACCCTAAATATATTTACTGTAGTTTAATAACTCTAGATCTCATAATATATTTAGATATCTATCGTCCGTTTATTCCGAAAAATCATCATGTAACCTTTTAGAAAATTAAATTAGTGAATAGTTTGATAATTCTTCTTTTTGCGATATTCCAACAGAATCCACTTACAATTAGTGTGACAACTTTTGACCTGTCTTTGGCAGACACTGCAAATCTCTTAATTCCGTTTTAATAAACTTTCCAATGGAAAATAACAGTTTAATGACTTATAGTCGTACAATCCATAATCAATGGATCGAACAATCCATAATCAACGAATCGTACAATCCATAATCAACCGGTGATATAATAAATAGGACTTTTTTTATTTTAATAGCATTTGTGTTTTTTTAGCTTTAGCTCAGTTTAAAATGCAATTTAAAGCATTTTATAATAGCCTAACATGGCCAGAAAATAATTTTTATTCAAAGTTCAAAGAATAAGTGAAAGTTGTGTGTTGCACGCACCAGATTTTTTGATAGTAGAACTGAACTTACATGGAACTTTGCCAATTGCTACTCATCATTAACAGTTGTGATGACCACTAATGCCAATCAGCAAAATACTTGTTAACAACAGTTAACAAGGACTGGCCAACCCAGGCAATTGCCCGGCGACACCAACCAGGAGTCACCTCCGTTATTTTTTTTTTTTTCTGGGACTAAGTCCCTTTAGAATAACAATGATGAGTTAATACAAAGTAAAGTACAAATCTGGCCAAAAACTAACTTCTAAAAATTTTAATATTATATACATTATTTAAAAAGTATTTAACCAGTAAAACATAAAAAATAAAATATATATACAAATGAACATAAAATCTTCTCAAAATTACTTAATTGTGATGGAAAAAAAAAAAAAGAAGAGAAATTACATATTTATATATACATAACACAATTTATAAACAATAGGCTATCTAATTGAAAACTAACTTAATACAAAATGAAATAATATCTACAGTGGTTTATATAATAATATGCAGACACTAAGATAAAATAAAGTCTTACGATACTTGTGGTGTAATGGAAAAAAATAAAAATAAATAACTAAAAGGAACTATTTATACGTACATTCTCATATTGGCACACATAAAGACAAAGATATAAAATATGAACATATATACCCGAAAAAAAAAAAGCACCACCTGAGGAGAAGAGAAAAATAAATAAATAGTAAAAATAATAGTCAAACTGGGTGACAAAGATCATTGCTGTTTTATGCTAAAACTTAAACAGTAGGCACCACTATTTACTTCACGCAAATTCAGTTCATAAAATGAAATTTATGGTGGTAAATCTTCTGTTTGGGCTGGTAAATCGTTATTTGTTAAAAATAAAAAAAAAAATGACAAAGCATATGAGAATTCTTAGTTTTATCAAATGAATAAAGTGCCTGAATTAGAGACATATTAAATGAAATACTTAAGTACTCAGGTAAATAAAGGCATTATTAAAAATCCTTATATTAAGGAAGATTTCTTTCATTTTAATAACATTCTCTTCTTCTATAGAATTCTATAGAAAACCTTTGTCAAAGGCTCACACACTTTACACTTGCCAAAACTTTAAAAATTATTGAATTTTATTTATGATGTTTTGCATGATATTTTTAGGGTTTAGCTTATTTATTTTTTAAGGTAGTGAACAAATGTTATCATATTTTTCAATTATTACAGACTACATAAACTTACTCACTTAAATAAACAAAAATTATTAAATAATAGGACCTTTAAGGCTATTATTTCTAGTCATTTAAGAAGAAAAAAAAAAATTTTATTCTGGGACTAAGTCCCCTTAGAATAACTGCAATGTACAATTTAATGACAATTGTCTGGCATTGGAAATAAATCAGATTACAAAATTGTCTACAGCTAAGGTTACAATAAAGAAAAAGCACTGTTAGATATATGAAATCATAGATAAATTCAGATATGCGAGTTCACATATTTTTACATAGTCATTGTGGGAAAGTTGTAAATTATTCTTACAAGAACAAACCAACACATCCATTTGGATTCATACCATGACTGTTTCTGACCTGGGAGTGCTGTATATTGACCAAACATATTTATCCATCATGGTCTCTAATGATTTATTACTTTATTAATATCTATATGTTTACTATTCTATTTTCAGTATTTAAATTAGATAATTAATTGATTTTTCCTTTTTATCTCTAAAGGTTGTCCATTGTTGACTTCAAGTGGCTTATCCAGCCTGATTCAACTTCGCCATTTACAAGAACTGGAATTAACAAACTGCGCAGGAGCTTCTCGAGAACTGTTTGACTATCTTCGAGAACACCTCCCTCGTTGCCTCGTAATTGAGTAACCTCTGCTACTGATTGATTTCATTACCTTATCATATAATTTATTGATATGAGATGAAAGAAACAGTTTCATCTCTATATATAAATATATATTCCATTTATTGCTAAATGAATGGAGTTATTTCCTTGTGAATATTTTGTTTCAAATTCTCTACTTTTTTGTAGATGTTTCTGAGTTAGTCTGTAGTGTTATTCTTATATCAATTAAAAAAAAAAAAAAAAAAAGGTAATTTCCCAGTTCATAAGCAACTTACTTAATATTGTTCCTAAGCATTTAATGAAATGAGAAGGCAAAAAAGACCATTACCTAGCAATTTTTTTGGTTAGGGATTTTTTTTTCAAGAGTGTGATTTCACAAGATATATACCTCATTCGTGAATGTTTCTCTTGTAATGCTAAGTGGAACAAAACATTTGTCTATATGTACATAGTTATGCTCGTAACTTTTCTTGGAATTCCAAGTGTATACAGTACAGAGTATTTTAATGCTCAAACAGCTGTAATGATTGGCTAAATCATTAATTTATAAGTAATTAATCCTATTCCGTTATCAATAATTGGCTTATTTTATTCTTTATCATTAATGTAAGAAATTCCATATATTAGATTAGATAAAATTATCATTCTAAAACCATTATATAATAATTATTTAGATGCAATGCTTGAAATTTTGAAGAAAAAAAATTGAGCTTCTTCTTTTAAGTGTATTTTTTTATATATTATCCTCTGTAAATAAACTTCCAGCGATAAACACAAATTTATATTTTTAATTTATTTTTACCTTAACAATAAATATTGTTTTATTTTATTTCATTTTTTTAAGTCAAGTTATAAACATTGTTAAACAAACTTATAGCTTCTATTTTTATAATTCTTGAAAAAATGAAAAAAACAAAAACAAAACAACACTAATTTTAAATTTGACAAAAAAATGAAGTTATCTGAAAGTTTAAAAAAAATAAATACTACAGTCTCATTAAATATTAAAAATATATTAAGAATTCTAACAAGTACCTGATAAATTTCAATAGAAACTCTAACAAAGGGTAACTTCCATTTTTTTTTCACAAATAAGATCTACTATGAATAGAAATTTAACTCATTTTAAATTGGCAAGGCCTAAAAATCGTTCTAAGATGTTCAATATTAATTTTGCCAGTTTAGATCAAAAATGAAAGTTACTTGCATATAATCTTATAAATAAATTACAGTTTGAATAAGACATCCATACTGATGTATTGCTGGAAAAATCATTGCCATAAAGTCCAAAAATAGAAAAAAAAAATGCTTTTGATTTAACATTTTAAATAAATATTGGGTTGTCAAATAAATCCTTTCAATTTTTCAGGGTGAAATAAAACTCAATGTATTATAGACATAAAATTAATTTTAATCTAATATATTGATCATTATTTAATATAACTTTTTCCACTATAATGCCATGTTCATAGAATATCTGGAGTTTATTGTTAAAAAACTGATCCAAGTGGTTTTTGATGTCCTCTTCCTTTTGGAATTTCTTTCCGTTCATGGAATTCTGCAGAGACCGGAATAAGAGGTAGTCACTTGGAGCTAGGTCTGGTGAATAGGGAAGGTGGAGCAAAAGTTCCCATCCAAGGCTGAATAATTTATTGCGAGTGACGAATGATTTGTAGGGCCTTGCGTTGTCTTGGTGGAACACAACACCCCAAATTTGCCAGTTCTGGGCATTTATTTTACTTAATTGATTGATCCAATTTTGTTCATTGTGAGCAGTATAGAGTTGAATAAATTTTTTGTCCTGATGACAATAGATCATAGACCCTTGAAATCCCACCATATGGAAAGCATCATCTTTTTTGGATGCAATCCGGGTTTTGACATTCTTCTAGGAGCCTCACTACTAGGTCCCCAATATTTTCTATGGGCTAGATTATTGTAAAATATCCATTTTTCATCTCCTTTTACCAACCTTTTCAACAATGGGTCGTTTTGTTGCCGTTGTAATAGTGCATTACAAACAGAAATGCATGTTGACAAGTTGACTTCGGTTACAGAGTGAGGGACCCAAACATTAAGCCTGGAAAGATAACTGAGCCTATGCAAATGGTTTTCTATGCTTGTGTACAACACATTTAGAGCCATAGCAATCTCTCGTACTGATTGGGTAGAATTTTGATCAACAATGGCCTTAACATTGCTCATCTCAATTTCATGTGGGTGACCAGACCATCAATTTGAGCATCATTGATGTCAAAATTTCTTGAATGAAATTTGGCAAACCAATTTTGACAGGTGCATTCCGTTAAGGCATCATCTCCATAAACACTGCAAATTTTTCTATGAGCTTCTGCAGCACACTTACCTTTTTTAAAATAATGCAACAAAATATGACGATAATGAATGAAATTTTCTTCCATATTCATAGTGTAATAGCAAACACAATACTAAGCTAGTTTCAACAAGAGTAAACAGATATAGTTGTTGACATATTACAAAAATGTTATGTGATTTATTATTATCTAGGGTTCTAGAGGAGGGAATGGCTGAGCAAATTGGGGCATGGGTTCCAAAGTGCCCGGTTCTGAATGTTTTGGGTTTGATTCCCATCTGGGTTAGTTAGTTTTCATTTCTTAGCGGCCCTGGGATATGAATCTTAACATTTCCACTCTGGTAGGCAGCCACAATATAGCCGTCAGGGGTTGGCAAAAAGGACCATGTGGCCCACTTGCCAACTAGTTCCCCCTCCAGTAGCAGTACCCTGGGTTCTACTTTAAAAAATATATTAAAGTGAATCATCAGTCACAATGAGTTATAAAATTGATCAGTTTAGGCATGAATAAGGAACTAATGATTCTTTAATTAAAAAAAAAAAATTATGTAAAACGCACAATAACTTTGATAATGTTAACTATAGTAAATAATGCATTACTGTCAGATATCTTCATTTGAAAGTCTTTAAAGTGCAACATTGCAAGGCTTAAAACTTTAAAATTATTTATCAACTATAAGCTTTTTTTATTTGACATATTTTATTTTAACTAAAATATTGTTTAGTGATTTTGAAAAGAAAAATAATTTTGGTGGTGATTGTACCTTTGCTCATATTATTACTATAGAGCATCTATTTTATCACTTCCTATTTTCTCCTTACTCTTTATATACTTTGTTCTTTAGCAATATATACACTAGTCCTTGATGAAGCAAAATTATTTTAAAAATTAAAATAACAAAATGTTTAAAATTTTGAGATGTAAAAATATATATATATATTTTGATGACTTGTATAATGCTGATATGTACATTGTTTTAATGTGGAAATGAATGATGTGAATATTGTAGAGTAGATATCTATCGTATAAGAATAAATTGAGTGTGTTTAGCCCATGATGTAAATATTTTGAGTGTAACCTGTGCCTAACATTAGATGAGAGCATTTTTTTTTTTTTTCTAAAGAAAACTAATTTATATTATTGAAGACAAAATCGAGCAAAAAAAAAAAATTTGCACTCTATATTTTTGATGTTGAATGTATAAAATTATGTATCTTGTTCCATTTTTATTTCAAATTTATGAATTGAGTATCTGTATGTGTGTGTGAAATAGATATGGAGGGGAGAATCTAGATGTCATAGAAACTTGTGCTTAAACTAAATTAAGATTTATATCACCTTTCATGAAAGTTATCAGTTATATTTTTTTTTTAGTTCATGAAATAAATATATATATATTTTTTTTTTGTAGAATGAGTTTCTGTGCGAATGAGAGCAAATCTCTTAATGATTTTTTATGTATAATCTGGATTAGATCAAAATATACCCAATCAGAAATGTAAATTATTTCCTAATTATATCATTAAAAATGAAATAAATAAATCATAGGTAACCATGTCGGTCTAAAAGAAGTAAGGCCAACCTAAGACTGTTGCAAAAATTCTTGAAAAATAAAATTCATTAGAATTGATATAATAATTATTAAATAAATATATTGATATGTTTATATATCAATATATTTTGTGTGCTAAAAAACAGACAGCCAAAATGAATATCCAGTGCATAATATTTGATAGCATTCAGATTTTTGTTAGTAATAACATATTATAAAACTTTAACATTAGTATGAACAAGACATAAAATTTAAGTAAGATTTATGTTTCATTTCAGATCAATTTATTTTTATATAGGTTTCTTTGTGTGAGTTTCATATTCTAATATGTTGATCACTTACTGATTTAGCATGTTTTATGCAGAAATATTAAATAAATCAGTGTTTTCAGCTTTTGAAAAGTTGCTAGAGCCCCAGGATTGTATGAACCGTAAAAAATAAATAAAATAGAAAGATTTTGACACTTGAATAATCAGGTTGGCTAGGCCACCATCTAGTTAGAGTTCGAATCTATCAATAATAGGATTCACTTGAGATTTGCTTTAAGAATTTAGACCTTCACAAAAATTCATGGAAACAGTTAACACAAATATTATAATTTATTTCTATATTAGATGAATAATAATGAATTATTGATAATGTCCATTGGAGTCGATGTTAAGGTTGATCACATTGAGAGAGTGATCACGGAATTTAACTGCGTTTAAGATTTTTTCAAAGTAGATTACTACAATGGTGACATTGTTATTGTCATATAACAATATTAACATTGGAGGAAAATAACTCATTTATAGAAAAATATTTTAAAAAGTATAATACAATATTTTTTTTAATATGTGCTTAGCTGGCAGTACAACATATCATTCATTTTAAAGCCCTAGTCTAGTTTTAAATCATGTTCAATAATACAATTCATTTAATATAGTGAACCCTCGAAAAATCAAATTTCAGGTTGATGTAGAATCATTTGGATATTACAATAGGAGTTGTACTATATTAATTTTGTGGAAAATAAAATTTAAGGTATTGAAGTAAAAAATGAATTTACCTTTAAAAATAGAAACAGTAACTTCTATTAAATCATTACAAAATATAACAAGCCATTCAGGATACAAATATAGGACTAAAGAACATTAAAATTACAAAACAATAATAAAAATATAAATTATAAAACAAAAAATTAATTCTAGAAAATAACAAAATTATATATAAGCACAAATAACTAATCAACAAAAGCCTTTTTTAAAAAACAAGACTTTTTTTTATTGGAATTTTTTATTTGTTTTCTAACTGGATTTTACTCACAAATGGTTTAAATATGAAAAACTTAAATTCTAGTTATCGAGAGCTGGGCGCATTTAAAATTTTACTTTTTCAATAGATGAAACCGATATATAATAGTTGAAGAAGTGAGATAATGCCATTTTGGAAAATTGATATTACCCAAAAAAATTCATGAAATAGATGTTAAATGGCCAATTTCTATAAATTATACATATTTAATTGGTAAATAATTGTTATTGTGACAAGACATAATTTCAATTTTTTTTTTTCTAATGTAATTAACTCATATATTATAGACTAATAAATCAATCTTAAATGAGAATGACACAGTTACTCATTTGATGTTAGCCAAATATTAATAAGTGTATTCTGAAGTTAACAACTTATGTAAATAATTTATTCTTGGCAGTACATGTTCCATTTTCAACTACTTAAAGTTCTCAATATTGATGTCCTATTTGATGTCCTAGTTTAATATGTACTGTTATCAAAGAAAAAATAAAGCACAAAAACTGTTACTTGTATTTTGCTATTTTTGTTTGTAAATTGGCTTCACGTAAATATGTACCTTCAAAACAATTTTATGGCTATATGTACTCTACCATACCTGGATAGTTTTTAACATTTCATTTTCAAATTGATAAAATGATAGAAAACATCACACAAAAAATTCTTCTTTTTAGCAAAACTAAATTGTAATATATTTCCGCAGACGCATGAATTATAAATTATTATTGAGATTGTGAAGCAATATAAATCATATCAAATTGAGTAGTTTATAAGTGTATTGTCACAAAGAATATATAAGTGTTACATTATCTGTGTTGTTTCAAATATATTATAGTCTTTAAAATCAAAAAGATTGTCTACAAGAGATCCAGCTCTACATGTTGATGACCACAATCAATATAACTTCTTCTTCAGCCTCTCAAATTAATAAAAAAGACAATTTGATTGTAGATAGGTATGAATATGTAATTCATCTGTTTGTATGTTATTTTTTCTCTTGGTAATATGTTTTCAGATTGTTTATACCATGGCAAATTATCTGTGATGTATTGATTCTCTAGTCACAAAACAATAAATACCAAAAAAAAAGTAATAATGTTTAGTTTTTTCTTTTGAATGTCTTCTCATTTCAATATATTTTTCTTTTTATTATTCCTAACCTTATCATATTATGAATTTTTTATGCAAGCTAATGATGGAAATATGGACAAAAATTTTCTGACTAACTCATTCTTGCTATTCGGGAAAGAATTGAAAGTAAGTTTATTATTTTTAACCTATAACAACATCCATGAAAGAGACTTTGAATAACTTTTACAGGTTACTACAGTTTTACCAAACTCAAAAACTATGTATTGTTTAGAACAACTAAACCACTCATGAATGTGTGAGCACATCTTAAGATAGTTTTCAATTCAAAGAAAGTTGATTATGAAAGGCCCATCTCTTGAGATTTGGTCGTCCAAATTCTCAAGTGTTTCAATGGAGATTAAAGTTATTTTATTTTATGTTATCCTAGATTAATATTTTATACACAATATCAAGCCGAAAATAGCCAGAAGTTAGTAAAACATCAAATATCATGTGCTTTGATATGATAAGAAGATTAAATAGAGTAAGAAGATGTTAAACTCCAGCACTATCTATTAGGAATAAATAAATACGAGAAACTATTATATGGACCATTATCCTAAAAATAAGTCCTCATTCCTTCAATTTTATGGATCTCAAAAATTGAATATAATGTGGATTTATTGCAAAAACTCATTAAGTAGCACGTAAAATCGTATTGGTAACTACTTTGTTGATTTTTTGTCTGTGAAATCAGAACATCGTGTACTTTGCGAAACTATTTTTGATTCATAGAAGGGTTTGTGTTATTTTGATCTACTTACTGTGTTTTCGTGTCGATAAATAAGATTGAAATTTATTTTAAAAAGTACTTAAAAAATTTAGCTCCATTAAAACTGTGCTTAGTGACGTTTGAAATAAACCAACAGTATTAGAAATTCATTTTTGAATAGTATGATTAATTGACTTATTTTTCACCATAAAAAAATACTCCAATATAGATTTGAGGAAATACAATTTTCTAACATAAAATTTTTCATTTCTTGAATTTGTCCCAACCCCCATTTTGAAAATTACAAAGGCATATTATATAATTATTTATTTCATTTCAGTATTTTCAGGACAGATAAGATAAGGACAGAATTGGAGAAGATCTAAAATGGTAGTCAATATATCAAAGAATGTTTAATCTACACTTACATATATATGTTCCACATATATACATACATTTAAATTTGAGAATTAGGTCTGCTCAGATGAGTACAGAGTGCACCGAATGGATCTGTCTGATCTGAAAGTTGTCAGTAATTTCTCTTTCCTTCCTCACCTTTTAGTCTATACGGGGTTTTCCTGAGCCAGAAGATGAGGGCAGGGAATTAATGTCAGGGTTAAAAACCCCCCTCAGCACCAGGATGTGAACTCGTAACTATTTTATCATACATAACTTCGGTTATCAAGTTGCTCGGCAACGCACAGTGCTATGCACAAGAGTTAACCCTCTCGGCCACCCCGTACCCGTTGCTCATTCAGAGGGAAGTGAATGGGAAGAGATGATGATAATGTGCTCCCTCCACTCGGCGTGCCTGTTTGATGCGAATACTCAAATATGTATGCTACTTAATGTGTTGAGTGTGGTTTAAGAGTACCATTTCTTTATTTTTTTTTTTTTTCACCCCTATTCAATAAATGAGTAGGCAGCTAAAATGCATTAATAATATACACAATATTTCTCCAATTCTTCTTCAGTGCATACTATTTATTTTCAAGTGGACTATTTAATTACATGTGGACATGACAAAAATAAAAATTTTTATTATGAGTAGACACATGCAATTCGCATAAGTGAAAAGGACATGTACATGATTGGTATTTAGGTATATAAAAAGAATCTCTATATGTTGAAGTATGTTTTAAATATGAGTGTGAATTGTAAAAATTTTTTTAGACTTGAAAATAGCTCAACGAGCCGAAACGTCGTAATTAGATGTGTAGTCATTAAGTTGACAAAATTTTGAAAATTAGTGTAAAATGGCTGATAATAAATAAACTTGAAAATTAATGATATATTTACAACTTAATATGTAAAGAAACTTTGAGAATGTTCTTTGGAAGAATAATTGTAAAGGATTTTATGCAATTCATTGTTTATAAAATGGTCCAGGGGAATTGGGTATATTAATATGTAAATAAGGAGATATTGAGAATGACCATAATAGTTTTGAGTTTAAATTGTTATTGATCCATACTTATAAATGACCATCTAAATGTTCCTAATCCTTATATTGAAGTTTTCATAAAAATAATTCAAGCAATTAGCAGGTATATTATTCTATTATTTTAGAAATATTTACTTACAATATTGAATTCTAACTTTAAATTGGTATTGATCTCATCTATCTACATAAAATAAAATGTACCATTCCTTGTAAATGTTGCTTCTTCAGAAAACATTATGGAGGTAAGCTTTTCTACCATGAATTTCAAAACGTTTCAACATTGAATCCAAATGTAGCTTTCATTACCAATTAGACGTCAATGAAAATTAAATGAGAAAACTCATAAGTCAACTATTCTGTTATAAGTAAAAAAAAAATATATAAATAATTGAGCCGAAAACCTACTAATTACTAGATTTTTTTTCATAACATAAATATTATGATTAGGAAAATGTAGTTGTTCACTTATAACTATGGATCAGTTCCTATCTTGGAGATTTGAGTAAAAAATTGTTTTGGACAATTACTTCATTATTTCTTATTTATTAATTGTATAAATATAGTATATATTTTATTAATGTAAATAATTCGTACAGTATAAATTAATAAAACACTGTATATTAATAATAAAGGTGGCAACACTGGTTCAGGTCAGGCCAAGGAGCAACATGTGCATATCTGGTTTGAGTCTGTAAGCTTGTGGTGCCCATTAGCATAACATTGAATCTCAACTGTTTTGGCTTTAATAACCCATGATCCGACAATAATACACAGTTTTCTGATCACTTTGGGTGGTAATTATTTGAAAAGTTGTATTGCACTGAGAGTTCTCTTCAGTGCTCAAGCTTCGGGCCAAAACCCCCTCAAAATAAAAAAATATATATATTTTTTTTCATGGGTCTATATTTGTTACTATGAAGTAGTATTTGTTACTGCCATGCCCTGATGAAGACCTAAAAAGTGGGTCCAAACGTCAATGTAAACAATAAAATACTATTTTGATATATAGTATTCATTTGAATACACCCCCTGACCGACTCCTTCTCTTATTATCATCATGGACAACCATCTCTACACTATTTTTAACTTATATAAAATTCTTTATATTAAAATATAATTATTATTTAATTTCTACACAGGTTCTAATTGTTTTAAATACATTTTGTTAACAAAATGAATGCAAATTGATTAAAAATAAATGAAAATTGAAAAATTAAGCCCATTAATTTATATATTCTTATTACATTCAAAAAGCAGTCAGGATCTCTTTTATTTTAGTAGCTGTAGTTGTTGGGGTAGTGTCAATATCTTCAGGAGCTAGCTGTTGCACATTAATATCAGTCCCTCGTAACATTGTTGCAACAGCATCAAGCATGATATAAGCTGATTTCATTGTCAGGTAAGGATATTCAATTATTTTATTCACTTTGGCATACTTCACCTTCCAACAGTACTCATCACTCACTTCTAATGCCAAATGTATATCTGTTAACTTATAAATCAAAAGTTCAATTTTAATTAATACGAATAGTATTCACATTAATCACTACTTATGGTAGTGGTTTATCTCATCAATATTTGAAGGATTCGGTCGAATAATGGCCTATAATTTTTTTTAATTTATAGATTAACAATAACTTACTCCCACTTATTAGTACTACTTTTGCTTCATAATAACACAACTCTTGTTTCATCCAACTCTTATGACACTGGCATTATTCTTGTTATTGTTTCCAGAGAATATAATTCTTCATTATTGCTAAAATTATATTTCCTCAGTCAATTGCACTCTCACACAAAGTGAAAAATGTCAGTAAATTCTTAAAAAAAAAAAAAGGAAAATAAGTTGTCATAGATTTCCAATAGTTCACTCAAATGAAAATCAATTCAAGAGGACTATAATGCTGCTCATTGTTCAAATTACAGAGCTCTAAATTTCAGCTAAGTAAATTAGTGTAGCAATGATATTCTGCATTGAGTTTATGTAAATGCTGTAGTGAAAGAAAATCAGAATGGTATTAAGTCAAAAATCCAATTTAGTAAAAATGTAACATAAAAAATTCATTATTCAGCCAAATCCTTCATTTATTTAACATCAAGAATGGACTTGATAAAATTTTCAATGACTTTTTATGAATGATATAATAGGTTAATAAGACAGTTGTTACTTTATTATTTACAATGCGTTACAGTTTGAAGCCTCATGCATTTATTTCTTTGAAATAAAATGTTATTAAATATTAAATAACAATTTAAAAACAAAAGACTTCCTTTAAAAAACAAAAATAATTAGTAGTGTATTTTTAAGTTTACAGATATTTGAGGAATCAGGCACATAATACTCATTAAATAATCTTAACTAATCAAATCATGGTATACGCCGAGGAAATCATCGGAGACTAACAATGTAGGTGTGCAATATTGGGGGGCTCAGTACATGCCAGGGGAGCCCTTTTCTTGTAAAATAAAAAATGAAAATTTTGATTCGAAGGAATATTATTCAATGATACTACTTTTATTATGTTAATTCCCTTTTTATTTTATTCCAAATTAATCTCCCTGAAGAGGTATTAATTTTAGTTTGTTAGTGTATTAACTATTAATGTGAAGTTAATAAACAATTGTTTGCATGGGGCCGGCATCAGATATGTTACCTCTCTCCTGTCGCCGCTGTCCCCTGGCTCGTCTAAGCCGTCTAGTGGCTTTATTCTGGTACATATTATGTAGCTGAAGGGCTGTGTCCTCTCTTCTTTCTCCCTGTGGATGGCTGTTTGAAGTCGGTAGAGCAAGTGAGGACGTGGCTGTGTGCTTAGTCAAGCACCTAGACCTTGCTGATAGATAAGGCACCTCTACTTGAGGGGGTATCGGGGAAGGTCCCCGTGTTATTTATACAAAGTAATAACAAGGATATGGTATATAATACCAATATTAAATGTAATAAAATTCAAGGATGTAAATCCAATAGTGAGTTTAGGCGGACCAATCGACTGTCGATCAAATATTTTTTTTATCACAAATATTAGAGAAAAAATTAGAGTAAGACATTGTTGTTCATCAGCTGAATGTTAATTACCAAAAAGGCTTACGATTCTGTTGACCACCAGAAGCTGTATAATATTTTAATCGAGCAGGGGTTGGGCTTAGATGAAGCCCGATGGATGGAAGAATGTGGACATCCATTGGTGGTATCGGCATCAAACCTTCGGGTTCGCTAAGTCTTATTATTATTAAATATTCCCATTATTATAATATATTTAATGCACCAGTTTTAACCAATTTACCTAGACCATAATGAACTGATTGCACCTGTAAATAATCTAGTTTTCTTATTCTTTAACTTTACATTAATTTTAATTGTATTACTTAAGATGAATAGAATGGTATAAGTACCATATCTAATCTGGAGGTAGTCATTATCAAGTAAAATGAACCGAAGATATCGAGGAGAGTGTGATCTTTATAACCAATTTTAAAGTAACCAGCCACTGCTTTCACACTTCTCTTTAATGCTCTTTCCCAGGTTTTCATATTTATGTGTTTAGGTGACCTTGTGTGATCACCGAAATACTGAAATAAATAATTATTACAATAAAAGGTACCATTAAAATTATCAATAGCTGTTTTATCTCAGTATTAAACAATAATTATTTAAATTTTACAATAAGAGGTATCACTTCATAAGTGTCACTTTGTAATGATAGGTCAGAACAAGATCTCATGGTCACAATGTAGATGGAATTGAGTTAATACAAATTCTTTAGAATGATACAATTGTGAGCTTTAGAGCCTCAGAGTTTCATGAAATATTAAAAAACTATAACTTAACTTTTAGCATTTAGTCCAGTCACTGAATTATTATAAAAAAGAAATGAAAGTGACACAATTTTTGACTTTAGGACATTGTTTGGACTTGTAAGGAGGTAAACATACCAAAAGTCTCCACTCCAAGGGGGTGAGCCAGATGTGGGGTTGTGCCTAGAAGATCACTTTTTCGGGTTTTCGGTTATATCAGGTTCTATTACCGTGGTATTCGCTTATACATCATATACTGAAACTCCAACTGGAAATCCCATCCGCCTTATCATCTCCAATTTTCCCGCTCAAACCAATAGGAAAAAGTTTCTGCTATAGTAAGGTGTGATTTATTGAGTCAAAATCCAAACAAAAATCAACAAAAAGAACGAAAAGGTTAAACTTCTTTATAACGGCGTTTTTCCTTCTTCTATTCTTCTACTCGTATTTCTGAATCCTGATTGGCGTTCAGATATAATTCTGCTTTCTCCAGTCCATAATGTTATTCGTTCCAACAAGATTTGGATAAAAATTTTGGAAGTACAGTTTGCCATAGATATGTTACGATAATTAAGCTGGATTCCCTCGGTCTCCTTTCTTAAATATCATCACAGCCCATGATTTTGGCACCTCCTCTTCCTTCAGAATTTTATTGAATAAATTATGTATATACATAAACCAATTAGCTAGAATATTCTTGTATATTTCGTATGGACCATTTTATTATTATTATTTTTTTAAATATGCCTTTGCATTGCTCCCACCACAGTCTCTGCGTCCCAATACGTCACATCGGTTTAATTGGAATTATTTACGGATTGACGCCAATCAATAGGGGTAAGTTAGATTTTGCCGCAGATCGCGTGATTTGTATCCTATGAATATAATTCAGATGGTAGATTTGCGACTATTCAACCCAGCAAACCCTAAAAGGTTAGGTGCGCTGGGCTAACTGGTAAACGTTTGAGGTAAAATCTCGCCCGAGGCGCCGAAAACTCACATTTAAGCTAATGGAGCGAGGTCAACAACTTTTATCTAATTAAAATAATCTATTTTTGAAAGATAAGTTTACGTTTCATACACAAAAAACTAAACGAATCAGACTAGATAAATTGGCATGTAGATATTAAAACAATTAATGCGTTTGGGATATGTTGGCTCACTCAATATTTTATTGATTTGAAGATTTTCAAGTGGCACAGGACTAGATACCCATCACATAAGACATATTACAACAAATTAACTAACCAACTAAAAGCTGAAATTAGAAAATATAAAGTTCAAAATTTACTTAACATGACCGAAAAACTTACTACTTGTGACAAATCACTATGGTTGACCACTAAAAAGCTACTTAAATTCAAAGATTTTAACCACCCACTTATTACTGAAACCCAAACCTGGTTCAGATCTGATGAAAAAAAATCTCAAATATTAGCTCAGCACCTCTCAAAAACATTTAATCCACACCCAGACATCCTCAATCCAACCTACCTTGAGTTTATTGAAGCAGAATTGGATATCCCACTCCAATTGACTCCTCCACCTAAAGCATTTCATCCTTCAGAAATATCCAATATCATTAATAGATTACCTTCTCGCAAAGCTCCTGGCCATGACCTAATCACATCCCAGATCCTAAAATTTCTTCCTAAAAAAGCCATATTGTTCCTAACCTATATATTTAATGCTGTACTCCGCACCACATATTTTCCTGGCTCTTGGAAACTATCCATTGTCAAAATGATACCTAAACCCACAAAGCCGCCAAAACACCCATCCTCTTACCGTCCTATCTCCCTTTTACCCATTATGGGCAAAATCCTGGAAAAACTCATTTTAAAACGCCTGTATCCAATCCTAGACTCTAAACACATTATCCCACATCACCAATTTGGATTCCGCACATCCCACTCCACTATTCAGCAATGCCATCGTGTGGTAGATGTAGTCTCCTCTGCATTGGAGCGCGTAATGTACTGCACGGGAGTCTTTCTCGACGTTGAACAGGCGTTTGATAGAGTCTGGCATCCGGGACTGATGTACAAACTCCGTGAATTCCTACCACCTACATACTTCCTCATTATCCGTTCCTATCTTACTGACAGATACTTCAAAGTCAATCATAACAATGCTTATTCATCTCTTTTTACTCAGTCTGCCGGTGTTCCTCAAGGTAGTATCCTAGGTCCTATCCTTTACACAGTTTATACGGCTGACATCCCAACCCAATCCAACACTGTCATCACCACCTATGCCGATGACATGTGTATCCTATCAGTTAATAACGATCCTTTAATTGCATCCCAAACTCTTCAATCACATATCACAAGCCTTGAAGAATGGTGTAAAAATTGGAGAATAAAAATAAATTCCAACAAATCCCATCAAATCACCTTTACCCTCCATCGTAAACCTATGACCTCTTGTCCTACAGTATCCTTCAATAATACTCCACTTATTCCTGTTGAGCAAATGCGCTACTTAGGACTCCACCTTGACAAACGACTCACTTGGAACCCCCATACCAGACTGAAACGACTAGAAACCGCCCGACGTTTTCGACTACTGCAGCACTTACTAGACAAACGATCTAAGCTTTCAATAAATTATAAACGACTAGTATATATGAAAATAATAAGAACTGTTTGAACTTACGGAATTGAGCTTTGGGGCTCCATTAAACCATCGAATTCCTCTCGTATCCAATCCTTACAATCCAAAATCCTTCGTAAAATCCTCAACGCTCCTTACTTTGTCACAAATAAAATCATCCATAAAGACCTTAATGTTCCATATGTTTCCGATCTTGCCCAACCCAGATACCTTTCCTTCCATAACAAACTGCAGAAACATCCGAATCCTCTCGTTTCAAACCTTGCTTCCTCCTCGATCCCTGATAACCCTCCGAGGCGTCTGAAAAGAAGATGGCCTCGGGATCTTCTAATATAGAACTTTAATTTGAGTTCTACCAATGGGTAGTTTCTCTTCATGTTGTACATGCCATGTTACCAATTTCTCATTTACTTATTGTATTCTCTATGTAATACAGTTGTAAATTCCATTAAAATAATAAAAATAAAAAAAAATGAAGATTTTCAGATCGGTTGTTTCTGTATGATTTTGGACATATTCGGCTAGCTTAACATCCAACAACAGTGTGAACAGATGATCATGACTGTAGTAGACATCCCTCGGTATTTACTCCTTCATGTGACATTGTGTGAGGGAATGAGAAGGAATATATAATATATAGGAATGTGAGGTTTCACGATGAATTGTACTCAATTATGCAGTGGACAAATTATTCATGGAAGAGTCTCATATCGATAAATAATCGATGAAGAAGGACGCTGGAAAAAGGAGAGCAGGTAGCTAGCTACAACAGCGGAGGGGCACTTGAAGCTGCGACATTGAGGCGGAACGACATACTTGGGAAGAGAGTCTACTACAAGATTTAGAAGATCAAGTCTATAGTTATAACACTTTAATAGAGTCAATTTATTACAGTTGTAGAAATAAATTATTTTGTATACAGGAGTGAAAAGTCATTTATTTATTTAGTTGTCCTATATGCCTCACGATTGAAAAATAACAAACCAGGTGAGTCAATTCATTCAAAGTGTATTTACTAAGTCCCACATTTCAAATATATGTTTTTATTGTTTCTTCCCACTCAATGTCACAAAAAGTAATAGATTCCCGAATTCCCAACAACAGTTAAACACCCTCAAAAAGTCTATATCCAGTGCCGATGTTTTGTTTTAATAATCACAAGTGTAAATAACCTAGTTACCCGATATATAAAAGCGGAAGGCTATTCCCAATTACCGCAAAAACAAATTATTTACATTTAACTTTATTAAGTTATTTACATGGCGCACTTGTCAAACCGATGTGATGAACAACTTTTGTGAGATATAGAAAAAAAGAAAAGTATCATTACTAATTTCTTATAATGAAAGGAAAACATGGATAATTGTTGGCTTTTTTTTCTCTAAATTTAGATTAAATTTAATAAGTTTGAAAATGGATGAAAAATAGCCAAGCTGGGTGATGGATTGTTTCGAATTTTTTTTTCTTTATTGAGTATTATAACAATCTGTCTGTTGGACATTGGTTATAGTGAGGTAGGATGACATTCACACCATATGTACAAAAAAATAAAATAAATAGAACAAAATAATAATCAAAAGTATATACAATAGACAATAAAATAAAATAACCTAAAAAATAAGAAAATTAAAACTAAGGGAAAAAAACAAAAAAAAAAAAAACACATGCATACCTATATACAATCAGGCGAGGGAACTCCAGGAGAACCCTGCGCTACTCTCCCAACCGCGTCGCTGGTACTAAAGCCAGCGGAGATTGGTCGAGAGCACTTTAGCCACATACACACATGTCTTGAGTGAAGAATCTGGCCATTGCCAGAACTCCAATTTATATAAACTCCAATTTATATAATTTTGTTTCGAATAACTGTTTTTTTTTTTACTATATAAATAAAAACATTTTTGAATTAATCATAATTTTTTTAACTACACAAGTATAATAAAAATATTTCTAAAATGACTTCACCTGACCCAGTGTAACAGAGAATAAAGCAAACATCAGTCCATCAATGTTTTGAAAATGGGTTTCAAAGGTTTCACCAATCATCAAAAATAGCATATAAGGGTACTGTATAAATAAGGGATTCGCTTTCATATCTGTAAACAATGGATACTTGGTATTAAAAATATTTACCATAAATTTGATAGTTTTGAAATAAAATTGATCCAGAATTGTAAGAAAATAGACAGACCCAGAATTGCTTTCTGAATTTCACACGTGTTGGTTACTTGTTCTCAAAAATTATTATTTAAACTTAAAAAAGTTTTATATTTTTTTTCTTAGAGCTCTAACAAACAAAACAGCAGCATAACTAAAAAATTGACTGTATCTGTTGTTAAAACAGGTTTTTTTTTTATGTTAAGATATTTATTTTTTATGTTAAGCCTGAAACTCAAACTGACGTCATCAGAGGATTCAGAGAAATAACTTGTGATTCGATTAATACAGACAAAGGAGAATAAATTATCAGTTACTGAATTATAAATATCTCGACAACGTGAGACATTAAATTATCTCAAAACCTACTGCTCAGACTAGTGCCTCAATGCCACCGAAGCATACCGACTTCCTGGCCGGCCTCTGCCCAGATCACCATCTGACGAAACTACAGGCGGAAATGAGCCAGAATACAGCCCAAAACGAAGTGACCGCGATGGTTTCAATAGACAGTACCGAGGCGTTCGACTCAGTTTCTCGTGGAATTCTATGAAAGAAACTGCAGGAAGAGTTCCCTGAGCAGCTAAATACCCTATTGCAGTCATTTATACTGCAGCGATCAATCAGAGTAAGAGTTGGAAATGCGCTATCCCGAGATGTGGCACTCACCTATGTTGTTCCCCAAGGGTCTGTGCTATTCCCTATACTATTCTCAGTATACACGGCTGAAACTTTTTTACAATAATTATGTTGATTATGGTAATTATCACTTATAATATTTATAGATAATATAAACTTTTAAAACTTTTTTTGGTGGGGAAGGGGTCCTTCACGCCACCCCAACCAAAGTGGAAAGTTTGCACCTACGATTAGAATCTATATGAAAATTTGTATATATAATAATAAAACATAATGAACAATGTTTAGGACAAAAAGCTACTCACTTTCCAAGACAATATGGCAGATTTTACACATTTTAGTCCCATATTTACCCTTGGGATCGTACGAGTTGAGGTAGTTTTTTTCATTTCTGAAGTTGGTGACAGCCAACTCGACAGCGGTTTTTAACATGTTAGATTGCCGTTCGTTGAACCACGTTCCGTTGGTGTCCGCCAGCTCCGGACATCTGCCTAGCCTATACTTGTGGGCTTTGCCGTTTCCAGCGACCAGCCATCCTGCGCAAGAGGTGTAGCGGTCCAACCATCTGCCGGTAACAAAAATCTTTTACTATTTTTTTAAAAATAAAAATTAATCTGAAAGATTCTTAATTACGTCTATTTATTACAATAGCAAAATGTAAATAACAGAACGTGAGCCGACTACAGAAATCGGGAAATTCTCTCCATCCTTGTGGATTTTGAGGGAAATTGACATATAAGAATAATTAAAATTGGTAAAGTAGTCAAGTTGCTTACATCCCCCAACCGACACTTAAGACAGTTGTTGACATGCTTATATATGACACGAAATCTGTTTGATAATTTAGGCTGTTCGCTCGAAAATTCATAATCCTTTCAGGGGACAAATTACAACATTTATCCAAGAATTTGTATTTGTTTCAAGCCAAAATAATTCCAATCATGGGATTTCCCCGATTAATCTGAACCAATGAACTTGGAATCTTAGCCCCAAAAAATGATACATAACTTTTAGTGAATAGATTAAATACATTGTATACAAGAATTTGTTTGAGATTTGAGATCAAATTCATATAGCCCTTGAGCCAGGACCCAAAAATCGACCTGATCTCAGGCGAAGGTTTGATTGTAAATTACGAAAGTGTATGTTATTCTGAGTAAAAAAAAACCTTCAAAAACCGCTGCTTGTAAAAATGGCGGCTGATTTAAAGAATATTAGCTCAATAATATGAGGATCGAAACGGGAAATCCATTGCGAAAAATGTGAGAAAAGTTTTTATTTTTTAAACTTTTATGTATGGGTTATGACAGGTAAAAAACAAAATTGCTGAAGCGGGCCACCAAGGGGAAAGTTTTTCAGCCAAAAAAGGAAGATTTTTTCGATGTTTTTTGTGTTTTTCACCTAAAACTCCTAAACAATGCATCAAAGCGATAAATGTATTCTTTAATAAATTAAAGAAAGTTAAATTTTGCGTCAAACGAGTACATAAACTGTCAAATTTGGTTATGCGGTAAGGTATAAAACCATGGTCGACCAACGCTGAGTTTTACCAAATTTGCCAAAAACTGAGACAAATTACTATAAATGGCCCTGTAACTTGGAAATAAGTCCCCTAAGGGGAAAAATCCATAGAATCAAAGTTGTAGAGCATCAAATTTTGTGTATACTGAGTACTGATTTGGCCAATTATATATCTCGAATCGGGATTCGTTATTCCTTTATAAAATTCGGTATCTTTCGGCACATCGTTTACTAAAATCGTTTGCTTTTGAGAAGTGGAAAAGAGGCTTATACTGCATGTAACAGACTTTAAACTAAACTAACTCAGTAGAATAGACACCTATACTGTTGAAATAATGAAAATCAAGTTTACCTTCATTACCAATTTCTAACCATCGGGAGATTACCGATTTTGTTAGCTCCAAGTTTTTTTTTTTTAACTTATTTATTGAAAAATATTACAATCTGTCTCTAGGACATTTATAATAGAGTTCACAGATCACATTCACACTCTATGTATAATAAATAAAATAAATTATACAGAAAAATAATATATATACAATAAATAGGAATAAAATATCCTAAAAATAAATAAATAAAAAGAACACATGCACACCTATATACAATATCTACAATTTGGTAAGAGAACTCCAAACCAGACTTGTCCCTCCAACTGTGGAGGGAAAAGTATGACTCCAGGAGTTCCCTGCACTCCTCTCTCAACCGCGTCACTAGGGCTAAACCCGTTGGAGATTGAGCAAGAGTGCTTTAGCCACATACACTCATGTCGTGAGTGGAGAATCTGGCCATTGCCAGAACTTCAATATTTACAAACTATAAAAGATCGCGGGGCCACTGCTGTTTTAACCTCCTTGGAGGATTATATGGATGGGTGGTGCTGGATAGAGATTTTGCAAAGGGATTTGGATGATGGGTAAGGTTCTGGTGGAATTTGGAGAATTTTGCTGGGATAAGGTCTAGGACAAATGAGATATTAAAGTCATGGTGCAAGGTTTTGTTGGTTACATAGAAAGCAGCGTTGACTATTGTTCGAAGGACTTTGGATTGGAAGGATTGGATGCGTTTGATGTTAGTAAATTTTGCTGTTCCCCACAGTTTAAGTCCGTAAGTCCAGATAGGTTTCAATATTGTCTTGTAGATCAGTAACTTGTTTTCAATGGAAAGTTTTGATTTTCTGTTTAGTAGCCGGTATAGTTGTCGGTTTAGTTCCTGTCTTTTAAGTCTAGTATGAGGGTTCCACGTTAGTCGTCTGTCTAAGAGAAAGCCAAGGTACTGGACTGTGTCTGAGAAAGGAAGCTGAATGGAATTAAAGTGTACTGGTGTACAGGAACTGCGTCGAAGCGTGGAGGTCATGTGTTGGCATTTGGATTCGTTTACTTTAATAAGCCATTTATTACACCAGTGCTCAATCAGGGAGAGGTGTCTTTGAAGGTTTGAGGATGCTTTATCAGGATCTGAGTCGGATGATAGAATGGTGGTGTCATCAGCAAAAGTTAGGAAGGTATCGGGATGGACAGGGATATCGGCGGTAAAGAGGATGTAAAGGACGGGACCCAATACGCTACCTTGAGGAACACCTGCCTCAATTGGTTAGCAATTCGATAATTCACTACCGCAGCGAACTCGGGAGGTATGATCTGAGAGGTAGGAACGGAGGACAAGGTATAAAGACTGAGGAAGATAGGTTTTCAGCTTGGAAAGAAGCCCGGTGTGCCTTACCCGGTCGAAAGCTTGAGCTATGTCCAGAAATGCACCCGAGCAATATTGCTTGCTTTCCAATGCTCCGAGAATATGATCGACCACTCGGAATCCTTGTTGGACTGCGGAGTGTTGTGAACGAAATCCGAACTGATGGGAAGGAAAATTTTGGGATTCTATAAAGGGTAGGATTCGTTTCAGGAGGATCTTTTCAAAGATTTTTGAAAGAATCGGAAGTAGGCTAATTGGTCTGTAGGACGTTGAGGTGTTGGGAGGTTTGCCTGGTTTCAGAAACAGGATAATAGTGGAATGTTTCCACAAAAGAGGAAAGTGGGTGGTTCTTAGGATGGCATTATATAAGTAGGTGAGAAATATAACAGCTTTAGGAGGAAGTTGTCGAAGGATTTGAGAGGTAAGGAGGTCGTATCCAGGAGATTTACGGAGAGGAAGTTTTTGTAAGTGATGTTTAACCTCAGAAGGATTAACTGCTTTAGGGAGCAAAGAAAGTAAAATGGGTGATGTAAGGAATTCTTCTACTGTTCTGGTATGGGTGAGGTTGGATTCCGGATGAGAGGTAAATGTTCTGGAGAGGTGTCTGGCGAATTCCTCAGCTTTATCTTCATCAGTCGCTGCCCAGGAGCCATCGCTTCGACGGAGGAGATGGGAAATATGATGAGATTTTAGGATTTTGTTGGTGATCTTCCATAGGGAATTGTCATGAACAGAGAGGGAAGTAAGGTAGGAGTTGAAGGATTGGGATTTGAAGGTGGCCAATTCCTGCTTTAATTGTTTACTGTAAAAATTATAGGAGCGACGATCGATGGGGTGTCTAGTACGTTGCCATAATAATCTGGCGCGGCGTTTGGTATGGATTAGGTCTATGAGGTTTTGAGGTAACTTATTTTTCTTGGAAGTTCTAGAGGAGTGGTTTGGAGAGGAAGCAGTCCAGATTGCTTGTTGGATAGTGGTAGTGAAAAGGTGTACGGCATTGTCAAGGTCATCTGGAGTTTTCAGAGTTATTCTGAGGTCAATTTTGTCGGAAAGGATTTGGTGAAAGAGTTTCCAGTTAACTGGGCCTCTAATAAAGGACGGTAGAGAAGACTTAGGAATAGGCGCTCCAAGTTACCTATATTAAATTAGTTGATACTGAGTATCCGCGAAATATGATGCCCTACAACTTTGACTCTATGGGCTTTTCTTCTTAGGGAACTCATTTCCATGTTACAAGGTCATTTATAGTAATTTGTCTCAGTTTTTGGCAAATTTGGTAAAACTCAGCGTTGGTCGACCATGGTTTTATACCTTACCGCATAACCAAATTTGACAGTTTATGTACTCGTTTGACGCAAAATTTAACGTTCCTTAATTTATTAAAGAACACATTTTTCGCTTTGATGCATCGTTTAGGAGTTATAGATGAAAAACCCAAAAAATATCGAAAAAATCTGACTTGGCTGTAAAAAGTTTTCCCTTGGTGCCCTGCGTTCGCAATTTTGGTTTTTGCATGTCGAAACCCAAATATACAAGTTAAAAAAATAGAAACTTTTCTCACGTTTTTCGCAATGGATTTCCCTCAAATTATTGGCCTAATATTATTTAAATCAGCCACCATTTTTCTTGAAAGCAGCGGCTCCAGAACGGCAGACAAAGTTCTTTTTACTCAGAATAACATACACTTTCGTAATTTACAATCAAACCTTCGCCTGCGATCAGGTCGATTTTTCTATCATGGCTCCACGGCTAATACAAAATATTCGTGGGATCTAACCGAATAATTTGAGCTATTGAACTCAAAAATTGGTCCAGCCGGGCGTTACTTACCTTAGTAATTATGTTACGTAGTAACATCCTATGTAAGACTTCGCCATAGGTGTATAGTAAATCACAAAACGAAATCCGCGTAGCAGCATCTCTAATCGTTTTTGAGAGGTGCACATTTCTAGTTAGTTGTGATTTTTTTGTGTATGTTGATCATATTTGTGTGGTTTCGAACTGCTGAAACTTTTAAACCAGAAAACTTGTGAAATACCACAGCAATTGAGATTATATATGATGTAAATTTTTTCGACTTCGAAGTTTAAACTTTTTCGATTGCAAGAAACTTTTTTGTTATAATGTTGTATGTTTATGGTAAAAGTTTGACTGTTATTTATTTAATTTTTGCACCGGACAATAAAATAGCGCTCTACGATTACAATAACGCAATTTTGAACCAGTGTAGAGAGGTCTGGCAATATTGTTGGGCAAAGGTTCCTATCACAAACAAAATGAAAAGAATGTTTCATGACATGAATCCACTTCCAGAGATTCAAGAAAACCGACGGGAGCTGACTATCATCACACGCCTCAGAATAGGGCACACCAGGCTCACGCATGGGCAATTACTCGACGGAAGTTCGCCACCAAGATGTCGCAGCTGCGATACAGCTTTAACAATGTTTCACATCTTGGAAAATTGTCCGAGCTTAGATTCATCAAGGACCTCATATCTGCTGTTAGGATATCGACAAGCCCTACAACCTGGAAATCAGAAACACCTACTCCAATTTTTGAAAAAACACAATTACTACAAACATATTTAAACAATATCATCCTCATAAACGAATTCACAACGTAAATTAGAAATAACCTCTTCAGTTGTAACAACACGTTCTTTAAACAAAATTACTAACTGAAACTTTTGTTACAACTGAATAGGTTATTTCTAATTTACGCTGTGAATTCGTTTATGAGGATGGTATTGTTTAATTAAGTCTGTGGAAATTGTGTTTTTTTAGAAATTGAAGTAGGTATTTCTGATTTCCAGGTTGTAGGGCTTGTCGATATCCTAACAGCAGATACGAGGTCCTTGATGAATCCAAGTTCGGACAATTTTCCAAGATGTGTACCATTGTCAAAGCTGCATCGCAGCTGCTACATCTTGGTGGCGAACTACCGTCGAGTAGGTGTCCATGCGTGAGCCTGGTGTGCCCTATTCTGAGGCGTGTGATGATGGTCTGCTCCCGTCCGTTTTCTTGCATCAGTGGAAGTGGATTCATGTCATTAAACTTTGAGCTTTTCATTTTGTTTGTAGCAGGAACCTTTGCCCAACAATATCGCCAGGCCTCTCTACACTGATTCAAAATTGAGTTATTGTAACCGTAGAGCGCTATGTTATTGTCTGGTGCTGGAAGTATGTTGGATGCTTCTTTTGCGGCTCTATCAGCCAGTTCATTGCCTGGTATTCTTATGTGACTGGGGACCAACAAAAATTTTATAGTTTTTTTTTGTAATTTGTGCAATTTGGAAGACAATGGGGTTTTTGCATAATTAAAAGTTTTCTATTAGTTTGAGGGCTGAGTAGGAATCACTAATAATTAAAATATGGTCACTGATAATTTCGTTGGTTATTATACTTAAAGCTAAATATATGGCAAAGAGCTCGGAGGATAGGACTGGATAAATGGAGGGCAGAGAGTAGCGGATGGTCCCCGTAGTTAGAACAACAGGACATCCAATTTTTAGATTAATATTTTTGCGACATTAGCAAAATATTTGAATAACAGTTTTTTTATTTAACGGATCTGCCGTTGGCTATCAGGCCATTCGACTCCTGGCAGTCTAATACAACTCCACCATGCCTCCTTTGTTTGAATTTGTGCCGATCCCATATGAAGAACTGCGGACATCTGACAGAGCGGGGCAAACTGAGAGGTGCAGGTCGTACATCTCTTCCTGTTGGCAAAGAGGACACACAGGACTTTCCACCACTCCAGTCCTATGTGAATGCCTTTGCAGGTAATCGTATCCTGTCGTCATGCGGAAATTCGCCACCGATTCGTTCCTATTTTGGTTTGTCCCATCGGCTCCACAGTTAAAGATTCCTCCATTTTTAAATACTTTTAACAGATTCGTAGGGCAATGGAGGATAAGTTTGTGGCATTTCCGAGGCGATCAGTGCGAGCTCATCAGCTTTTTTGTTTTCAGATAGACCATAATGGCTTGGATCCCATTCCAAAGTCACTCGGATTCCTTTTTCAATTAAATTTTTAATCCGATTTCTGGCACTTGTGACATCAGGATGGTCCAGGCCATTGCAGATGGGCAGTATGGCTGCTTGTGAATCGACAAAGATCATAACTTTGAAATAGCTGTGTTCACTTCTCCATCGAAATTTGTCCCCCGGCTACCAGCAGGGATAGATAATATAAATCTTTGCAGTATACTCCTGCCCCTGCATTCCGCGTAGCTGTTTGAGCGGAGCCGTCAGTGTACACGTGGAGCCAATTCTGCTTTTAATTCCCACTCAGGTGATAGGTGTTTACTTATAGGTTGTGTTAGATCTAGCCGTGCCTCTGCAATACATTTTTTCGGGTCATTACATTTATTAAATGGCAGACCCATGCCTAGATCTATGTGTTTTCTTTCCAACAGTTCTCTAACTTTTACTGATAGTGGTTTTTGCGTCTTGAGGCGCTGGACAGATGTTTCTTGAGCAGCCCACTACTTCAAACCTAGTCTTTTCATTCACTCTATAAGGGTGATATTTGCAACTTCTCTTCTTGTTTGAAGTGATTCTATTACCGGTTGTATCAGGAGAGCTATAATTGGTGTGGATTTTGCCGTCTGAGAGCCTCGTTTTGCACCACATCCAAGGCATGCAGTGAGTTTTCTGATGCAGCCACCATATTCCATTACTTTTAGTTTTTTGAAAATAAAAGTTCTATAAAATGGTTCTAGTTCATAATTACTGGGAAAAAAACGAAAAAAAAAATCTTATCATGCCAAAACAGATTAAAAATAAAAAATTCATTTTAGACCTTAATTTTTATAATTCTATTTTCAATTTCAGTTTTTAAGAAAAGGAAAGCCATTAAATTTCTTGGAAAGGGTGGTTATGCGCCATTATCCTTGGGAGGGATAAGGGAGAATAGACACTTCTGTAGACACAACTTATTACAAATATCATGTTTATTTGTAATAATCTTATTTTTATACGCAGTCCAATTTTTTTAATGTATGTAGCAGCAAAGAAAGCGTCGGATGATATTAAAACCGGCATGTTAAGTTAAATTTTTCACAACCACCTTATAATTCTATACATAAATAAATATTACACAGTTTGTCCATATGTCACAATTAAAACAACAATAGTGTTTAAATTCTTTATAGTAGAAATTTTTAACGTTTCTAATGATCCCTTAGTTTAAAAGTAGTATTATTTAGTTGATTGGACCCTGATGATTTGGGTTTTTTGTGCCCAGGCATTTAAATAACCAACCAATCTATGATTCCTTCGTCAGCATCTAATTTGTCCTAGTATCGTTATTTGAGTTTTCAAATAACAAATAATAAATTTTGAGTATCAAATTATAATTTATTTGATAAACACAGGGCCATAGAGGAAAATTAATATATGCTGGAAAAGGAGGCCAAGCGCGGCTAAAACGTTTAAAAATTAATAATTTAAATAATGTGTTATATGTTAATTATCAAGTGTGAGTAGATTTCGAGGAAAACTTTTATATCAGAAAATGTCAAACATGTAAACTAACTAATACTAATCATAAACCAGTATAGGGGTTATGTTTTGACCTACCTTACTACATCCGAAACTCCTTCAGGTAATATGGTCACAGAAAAGCCAGGCCTAACCGAATAAACAAGATTTCCGGAGTATACACGAGAACAAATGTATCCATATTTGTGAAGCCTCGTTATCAATTCGACGCTTAGCGTTTGAGCTAAATTGCAATTGGCTTCGTAGGTATTGATCAGCACAACGAACTCAGAACCAGGATCAAAGCCCACTGAGTATTTCCTTCGAGGATCCAACAGGGAGTAATACACTTCTTTCATCACATTTTCTTTCGTCGCACATTCCATTTCGAACCCGCCTCTACCTTCCAAATCAGTTCCTATGCGAAACGGCAATCCGAAATGGCAGGATATCGTAGAAAAAAACATCATGTTCAATCTATCTACGATAACCGGGAGGGTGCACAGTTCTTCTGACATTGCTCCGGCGAGTTTGTAGCAAATGACTATTCCTGCAAGGCAAGATCTCTCGTCCTCTTTGCATCCGTGATAGGCGTTATCTCCGAATGTGATGCTTTGTAGTTTGACTCCTTTCCTATAAGCTCGGGCGATGGCAACTCCCCAGTTGATCTTGTCGTCGAAGTTGTTGGGGATGATGGCGAGGATGCCACGGTCGGCCGTCTTGTTGAGCTCCATGATGGCAGTTTGGATGACCCTGGTCTTTGGCGATCCGTAGGTCCCGAGGACCATACAGGTCAGCATACCCCGGCCTACGACGTTCCCCCAGAACCCCACACCGCTTGAAATTATCCTCACTCGATCGGTCATTTTTGAGTAGTCTTCCCGAAATAAAATCTTGTCCCTGGTTACGCAGCTCACTTTAGGGTTAGCCATACTGAATCCTAAAAAAGCATCGTCCATATTTTTACCTATATCCTTTAAGGCAATATATTGCATACTAGGATCTGCAATATCCGATTTGTAAACAGGTTGAATTGTGGGTAACCGTGGTGTAGACGTTTCGTAGATAGACATCTTCTTGTAAAAGCTTACGAAAGTCCTGCAAAAAAAAAAAAAAATGTATATTGACTGTTGTTGAAGTCGAAAAGATAATGGTTGGAGTGAGGTTGTAGGCTTCTACTTAGAAAAACAAGATACGAGATTCATAGAACTTTGCATAATAGTAGCAGTACAATATATTAAACTATTAAATAGATTACAAAATATATTCCACTTTAATCTCGTTCCCTGTTTTTATCTATTATAAAGATTTTTTTTCTTTGTATTGATGATATTTACAACTGTATTACAAGTAAAAATACATTCAGTAAATATGAACAAAATAATATAACAACATGAAATCACTTGTTGAGAAACTACCCACTCGTAGCACTCTAAAAATGTATTTGCAAAAGAAGATCTCGAGGCCACCTTCTCAAAAAGAAGATTTAAAACTAAAATCGAAACATCGGCGCACATCAAATAACAGATTTCACAGCTATACGCTTTATTTCCGACTGCATCCCAACCGTGGTCTACTTGTTATAATTATGTTAAACCATGGATTACCAGAAAGTGGTTTTATAGCGCAAGATGTGCCAACAAAATTTTTGAGGGGACATATTGTAGTTTGATGGATTTTAGAATATTTGAGGGGTACACATTTCAACGGATTATGGATTTTTGGAATGAAAATTTTTAGAATAATGCTACGTTTCTGCATTACCCACCGCTTAAGAGAAAACGGGTTTCCAAAGGGATGGAGTGGCCTAAGGAACTAACGCGTGTGCACAGCACCGTGGTTTGCCTGGCAGCCAGATAACCCGAAGTTATGAGATTAAAAAAAAGTAGGAGTTTGCGTCCGGGTGACGGAGGGGATTTTAAATTTCCTGCTCTCATCCTCCGGCCCGGGAAAATCCCGAATAGCCTAAAAGGCGAAATAGAGAAGAACAGGAAAAAAACAACAAAAAACAAAGAAATAAAACACTGCTTTCCAGAAACAACACTTATCTGTATTTGCTATATTTGTATTTCCAGAAGGGAGCCGACCTACTTAAAAATTGTATCAATGATGTATTTAGAGGCTAGATATCACTGACCCTCTGCAGTAATATACTAAATTGAAATTTTACTTTCATAAGATGTCTTTTCAAAAGGTGTCATGTTTCCAATTTTCTATTTGTACTTATATCTAAGTGGTAGCATGCAAGAAAGATTGTTAGAAAATCATGATTTAATCAATAAGTAATCTATGTATGAACCGAACCATTATTATAATATTAATATACATCTGAAATCTTCAGAAAATCATGCTATATGTGAATATAGCTGATTGTACTATTAAGTTATTGATTCTATTATTTTTACTGATTGCCAGCACAAGTTTACGAGGTTATTGTGTGAGTGAATTAGCTATATCTTGTTGGTGTGTGGTGTGGCCGGCACCTCGAGGTCTCTCTCCTCTGCTCCTCTCAAGTACCATCAGCTGCCTTCCTCGTTGGACCACATTTCACCTCCGAGGAACTCTGTCACTTCTTCTCTTCACGCCCTCTTTCCCAGTACTGCCTTGTACCGCTGGATGTCTCAGGCTGACTCCCCCGAACCACTCTTCCAGGGTCTTGTTCCGACTGTTGTCCCGATCATCTTTATGATATCTACTAGCAGGCAGTGCACTGACAGCCTGAGGCCCCCTTTTGGTCCAAGGAAGTTACCTGCCACTGGCTTGAGTGACTTGTGGGCAAAAAACTTTCTTTGATTTTATTTCTAGTCTATTAATTTATATGAAATCATATATAAATATATTTTAAATCTAGCCTCTACAATACATAGCAATAAGGGACCAAAATATAATATGCAACAAACCGCAGCAAGTGTAATTGTATATGATCCACGATATTTCTAATTCTAATTTTTCTGGCTCTATTTTTAAGAAAATGTGAGCAATAAAATATCTTGGACTGGAGAAGGTTATAAGATATCAAGGTCCTTAAGCTATCGACCTGTGTTAAACAATAAATCTATTGGAGAATAGATCATCTTAACAGAAAATGCGAAGATAAGATAAAACATTTGTTTATTCTGGTCAAGAATATTTGACAAATATTTAAAAATAAATTAGCAGATGTTAATGGCAAGTTCCGAGGATCATATACGGGAGATATACGTAGTAATCGCTAACGAAAACCGCGATGCGGGAGTGATGTGATGATGTGATTTTCCTTTTTTTTTTTTTCTTTTATCATTCTCTTGGTAAATTAAATATGTCCATTATTTTTTTTTTTTTTAATTTCTTTATTGAGTATTATAACAATCTGTCTGTTGGACATTGGTTATAGTGAGGTAGGATGACATTCACACCATATGTACAAAAAAATAAAATAAATAGAACAAAATAATAATCAAAAGTATATACAATAGACAATAAAATAAAATAACCTAAAAAATAAGAAAATTAAAACTAAGGAAAAAAAAAAAAAAACACATGCATACCTATATACAATCAGGCGAGGGAACTCCAGGAGAACCCTGCGCTACTCTCCCAACCGCGTCACTGGTACTAAAGCCAGCGGAGATTGGTCGAGAGCACTTTAGCCACATACACACATGTCTTGAGTGAAGAATCTGGCCATTGCCAGAACTCCAATTTATATAATCTACAAAAGGTCGCGAGGCCACTGCCGTTTCAACCTTCTTGGAGGATTATAGGGATGGGAGATGCTTGATAGGGATTGTGCAAGAGGATTTGGGTGGTAAGTAAGGTTCTGGTGAAATTTGGAGAATTTTTCTGGGATAAGGTCTAGGACAAATGGGATGTTAAGGTCATGATGTAGGGTTTTGTTGGATACATAGAAAGGAGCATCGACTATTGTTCGAAGGACTTTAGACTGGAAGGATTGGATGCGCTTGATGTTAGAAAATTTTGCTGATCCCCACAGTTCTAGTCCGTAAGTCCAAATAGGTTTCAGTATTGTCTTGTAGATCAGTAGCTTGTTTTCAATGGAAAGTTTAGATTTTCTGCTTAGTAGTCGGTATAGTTGGCCGTATCGTCGGTTGAGTTCTTGTCTTTTGAGTCTAGTATGCGGGTTCCAAGTTAGTCTTCGGTCTAAATGAAAGCCAAGATACCGGACTGTGTCTGAATAAGGAAGCTGGATGGAATTAAAGAGTACTGGTGGACAGGAATTGCGTCGGAGTGTAAAGGTAATATGTTGGCATTTAGATTCATTAACTTTAATGCGCCAGTTATTACACCAGTGCTCAATCAGGGAGAGGTGTCTTTGAAGGTTTGAGGATGCTTTATCAGGATCTGAGTCGGATGATAGAATGGTGGTGTCATCAGCAAAAGTTAGGAAGGTATCGGGATGGACAGGGATATCGGCGGTAAAGAGGATGTAAAGGACGGGACCCAATACGCTACCTTGAGGAACACCTGCCTCAATTGGTTAGCAATTCGATAATTCACTACCGCAGCGAACTCGGGAGGTACGATCTGAGAGGTAGGAACGGAGGACTAGGTACAAGGACTGAGGTAAATGGATTTTAAGCTTGGAGAGCAGTCCGGAGTGCCATACCCGGTCAAATGCCTGTGCAATGTCCAGAAAGGCACCCGAACAGTATTCCTTGTTTTCTAGGGCTGAGGAAATATGATCAACAACTCGGAGTCCTTGTTGAACAGTAGAATGTTGAGAGCGAAAACCAAACTGATGGGAAGGGATATTTTGGGATTCTATAATGGGTAGGATTCGTTTCAAAAGGATCTTTTCAAAAATTTTTGAAAGGATTGGGAGTAGGCTGATTGGTCTATAGGATGTTGAGCTATTGAGAGGTTTTCCTGGTTTTGGGAAAAGGATAATAGTGGAGTGTTTCCATAACAGAGGGAAGTGGGTGGTGCGTAGGATACAATTGTAGATATATGTAAGGAATATGACTGCTTTGGATGGAAGTTGTCGAAGGATTTGAGGTGTAAGGAGATCATGTCCAGGAGCTTTACGGGGGATTAGTTTTTTTAATTGAAATTTTACTTCGGAAGGATGAATAGCTTTTGGGGGCAAGGAAAGTGGGATTGGTGATGTAAGGAGTTCTTCTACTGTTACGGTGTGGGCAGGATGGGATTCCGGATGTGAAATAAATGTATTGGATAGGTGAATGGCGAACTCCTCAGCTTTATCTTCGTCAGATGCTGCCCAGGAGCCATCACCTCGTCGGATGTTCATTATTGAAAAAAAAAATAATAAAAACGTTATACACATATTTACAAGAATATTGTTGTGCCATCTAGAAATTATTAAAACCGCTGTAATTTATTGCGTGAAGGTTTATTTACTCTTAAAATTTTCCCCCTTTCACATATATTTCCTAATAGTATCAAATATAAAACAATATGAAAATGTTTGCTTATATTGGTCAGGTTGGAATTGTTTTTAATAAATTTAAAGGGCTTCAAGGCGAAGGCAAGTTCCATCAAAATCTTTTCAGCTGCTTTCGAGCTACAATCTATAAAAAACAGATTTCACGGCCGCGACAGATTTCGAAATTTAACGGCGGATGAAAATTTCTACTTACTAAGACCATCCTGCCTTTGGTGAAATACACTGTTAAAGATCAAGGTGATATGTCTGAATAATTTTTAATCCATAATCGATTGCGCCAAAAGGGGTTTTATTGTCTCGTATTTAACATTATCCTAGAATGTGCAAATAGAAGAAATTCAGGTTGGTGATACTGACACTCATTTTGACCACTCAGCACAATTGTTAGGTTTTGCCACGACATTGCAGTGGTTGGGAGATTACTACCTGCCTTTATAGGGAAAGGAAGCCTTTAGAGCCCTGCAAAGAGCTACAACAAGAGTTGACTCAAATATAAATGCGAATTAACCAAGTATATGCGGCCACCCTGAAGCATACTTGGAGGCTTTAATTTTGAATGTGTTTCTGACTTTATATACCTTGATACCCAAGTCAATAATCACATGAATGCAGAAAGCTAGATAGACACATTTGACTCTATATTTGACCCGCAATTCAATATCAACTAGGAATGCTGTAAGCGAACAAAAGTCGGGCAGCAGGAGTTATATCTCGTTGCTGATTTTGTGTAGATAATCAGAATTTCCTGGTTAAGATGGACTGGACACGTTCGCTGGATGGGAAATATTTATTTGGAAAGTTAGGGTCTTCTGCAGATTAGCAACATCAGGTATTTTTTAGTAATATTCTGTTGTTTTGCGTGATTAAAGAAAAACACGAGGCATTGAAAGCTTTAAGTACTATTAACCAACCTCAAATGGCGCTACTTTAGTGCAAAAATTCGTATGTAACTTTTTTACATATGTATTCTCTTTGCACTAAATTTGACATTTTGTAGTCAGCAACTGCTATACATAGTCTGCTAAATAGTAAAATAGCACAGAGAATAAAATATGTAAATTATACTAATAATCATAAACAAAACTGGTGCGGTGTGCACATCACACTTTCACCTACCTTCCTTCTTTTAGAACAAATAGATATTTTTAGACAAAGAGAAGAGAATTTAAAAATCACAGATGGTACAAATATTTTTTGAAACAATCAGTTACTATATGTTTTTCAGATACGTCTAATTTATTATACTTGTGTGTTGTTGTTTTTTCGCCAATCATTGCCTATAACGATTGTACATTTTAATTATTTCTTTGCTTATAGTAAATAATCAAGTGCTGCGAAATATTTTCAGTCCGACATGGGTGCTACTGTAAATAAAGGTCGCTAAATTGAAATATATTTCATATAAGAAGAAGAAGAAGAAGAAAAAGAAGAAAAATATATTTTAATCTAGGACTAAGTCCCCTTAGAATAACTACAATGTACAATTTAAATTGTCTGGCATTAGAAATAATTAAGAATAAATTAAATTACAGGGTAATCTAGATCTGAAATTACAATAAAGAAAAGGCACTGGAAGACATATGAAATTGTGGATACATTCAGATATGCGAGTTGACATATTTGTACACATAAATGATATGGATGATATATAATTATCTGTAGGATAATATTAAATGCGACTGACAGGTCTGAAAAACGTGAACATTATTTTACATACTCGGACATATTCGGAAGATTGATTGCTGAGGAAATGGATAGATAAATTATGTTTAAATGAGGTCAAGGATGAAGATTTACGTATGGAGGTCGGTAGGGAATTCCAGAACAAAGTAGCTCCTATGACAAAAGGTTTTTTAAAGGACAGTTCTATGAGAAGGAATAAACAGGTTTGAGGGATGGGATCCCGTGTCGAGCGAATGGACAGAGAAACAGGGAGTAAACAAATCGAGAAGGTAAGAAGTTTTTGTGGCTGAAAGGTTCGAAAAAGGAATACACCTAGGAAGTATTGCCGTCGGAAGACCGTATAGAGCCATCTTAACTCGGCATACAAACTGAAGACGTTTTTGCAGTGCCTGGGGACTCCAAATATAAGTCTAATGAAACAATTCATTAGTCTCTTTAATCTGATCTCAAGCCCACCAGACGTGACGCAAGGCAACCATAATCGAAATAAGGGAAAATGAGTGAGGAAACTAGGATCTGACGGATTATAAGGGACATGGAATCAAGGAATCTTAGGTACTGTTTGAGGGTAGCAATGGATTTTCGGATTATTTGGGAAATATGATTATTCCAGGAAAAATATTGATGAAACATTACCCCAAGATTTCTAACGGAAGTGTGGAAACGGATAGGTAGGCCATTGAGGTAGAGTAGGGGATAATAGCGAATGCAATTAATTAAATGTTTAGAACCAATGAGAATGGCTTTGGTCTTCTCAGCATTCAGCTTTTGATCTTTGCAAACTACCCAAGTGTTGATGCTACCAATGTCTTCTTGAAGCCTTTGGATCGCCTCAAGCACCTTGGCAGGAAGAAAGGAACTGTAGATTTGGAGGTCGTCAGCATATAAGTGATATTCTTATTTACATTAAGTAGGTATTATTTTTTGTTTAAACATTAGTAAGTACATATAAATTTTAGTTTTTATATTCTGTAATTAAATTTTAAATAATATCAACGCTAGCATAGTATTGAAGCCTGTTCCAGCCTTCGGCCAAGCTCGGCTACGCCCTTGGGTTTCGTTAGTTCTCTATTAATAAAGAATTTTATTAGGTTACTTCTCCTTTAGATAATTATCGAATTCTTTAATATTTCGCTTTCTTTTATATTAGGTTCCAATATGAAATGATTAATTTTTTTCATATAAAAAAAATTAAAGGTCCTTAAAAATTAAAGAAAGAAATTGAATAAATTTGGCATTTAAGTTCTAATAGAATAAGACCTACATTGCATTAAAAAACGTTTAATAAGCACCATTTCTTTGTAAGTGCTTCATTAGATGTCTTTTATTATAGAAACACTCCTTATGGATAATTCCAGGTTCCTGATAAAAGTTAAGGCTTCCCTCTCGTCGTTATGAAAACTGAAACATAACCTAAAGATGTTTATTTTTCCAACCAAATGAATCTCTTAACAGATGTTCAAATATAACTGATACTATTCTTTAACAGATACTCCCTATTAAAATAACTGGTTGGGCTATTCTGCAAAAGACCCTGCAGATGGTCGAACTATTCTTGGTTTCCACGAACGGAAGATGGCTGCACTTTATAGAGACAATCGGCACTTGAACTTGTAGGAGGCTCTATCCCTATACGTGTCGTAATACTACGAAAGAAGAAGAGAAAAAAATATACATACAAAATAATAAAATATCTCCTTCTATTCAGTGTTAAAACAGACAGAAATTAAAATTTAAACGAATGTATGCATATAATCTTCTCTGAGAAGTGCAGGCGCCTTCCAATCGTGAATACCAAGGATAATTCGGGCATCTGCTTCCACCCAACCAGCACATCTACGTCCGGGTCTGCCCACACGTCTTGGAACTTGTATCGGCAGATCCACTCGACTTTCTCAAAATATATTCTCCAGACATCCGGCGAGTGTCCAGCCCATCTTAACCTGCCAACCCTTATTACCCTAACAACATCGGCATCTCGATATAGCTCCTGCAGCTTGTTCGTCCGCATTCGGTAATCCTTGTTAATATTGAGCATTAGGCCAAATATCCTTCTTAGTTGTAGACACTCAAATCGAAGAAGGGCTGCTTCTCGGGCTCTTGACACCGGAATCTTGGACGATTTCAAGAACACGGAACTTCGGAAAGTGTGTTTAAACAAAAAGAAATATTGAGCTAATAACATATTTACTTAGAGTAAGACTTTTCCAAAGCATATAAAATTAAATCCTACTGTGTTTGATTATTAAAGAATATGTAATTGTTTAAACGAATATAAATATTATATTAAAAATTTGTTAGATGGTGACTTACCGCTTGAAGCTATTCTTCGTATCTAATTGAGCACTTGCAAGCAGAGGATTGTCATCGCTATTGGAATTGACTTCATCCAGGGATGCTTTATCGAATTTACCTTCACTAAAAATATATAAAAAAATTAATAGATAAAAATAAAGTTTATTTAATAAATTCGAAACCTGGAAATGAATCATAAGTATTATCGTAAAATCAAATCTACTTTGGAAAAATAAAGAAAGAATATCATAAATTATGATCGATAATCTTAAAAAAAGCTTGTGTGCTATGAATGGAATGAAGAATTCAATTATATCTGTTGTAGATATGTAAAGTGTGTTGACTAATATGGCACAAATGAATATTGACATTGGGGAGAGAGAGTTATAGGTACCAAATATATCAAATTTTCTGATTCTTTCTTTCATAGAGTAACATCGAAGGCCGAGCGTGTTGAAGTATTTTCCGCTTCTTTAAAATTGATATCTTCCTTAAATTCTCGGCTTTAGCGGCGTCGGTTCGAATCCGATCTGGGCAGGCTGTCTCGATGATTAAATCCTTACCTTCCCTTTCTAGTTAGAATAGGTGCAGTTGTATATATAGAACAACCCCACCTTGTCCTTCTCCCGCATGCCAGAAATGGTTAAGTAATAAAATTACGTTGACGTTTTCAGATATTTTTTCAAAGCTGGAGGAATGAAACGAGAAGATAACATGATTGTTAGGGAAGGATAACCCGGCATAAAACGATGAAACAACATTGAGGTGATTCGGACGATATGTGATTTCCTGGCATTAGCGGAACCAGGATAGGGATGTGGATGGGGAAGGAGGGAAGGGCCTTGTGCTCCTCCATGGAAGGTGAGTGAAAATTTTGCCTTGAAAAAAGTAACTAAACTACCGGAGCTTTCATTATTATTATTATTTTAATTGAAAAATGAATTGTATTAAATCAATATTTTTTATTTACGCTTTGTAGTCAAAAACAAGGAATAATTAAAAAAAAATTGAATATTTACTTAAACGTGAACATTTTTTGTTTTTTTAAATTATAGGATACCATGTATTAATATAACTCCATTGATCATATGGTTTCCACCCTGACCTCAAACCTACAATCCATGTTAGACATCCCTGCTCCTCTGAAAACCACAACTGTATGCCGTTCCACTGCACCTTGGCTGACCAGTGAGATAAGGAAATGATGAAGGAAAGAGGTGCAGCAAGCCGCAAATACCGACGAATCCGTTTGTCTGGGAATTATGCATCTTTCAAGGAGCTTCGCAATGGAACCTGATCAGCATTCTGACTTGCTAAAGCCACCTACTTCCATAATGCTCTGTCCAATGCTCCCGATTACAAATCCAAATGGAAAATAATCGGTAATATATCCCTACCAGAATTCAATAATCTTAGTTCCTCTCCAGATGATCTCAGTAACCATTTCTTATCCTTTACTCACAATCTTTCTACTACTTTCGATATTAAACATCACAACTTCAATCCTGAAGACTTCTCTTTCTCCCATGTGTCCTACGATGAATTACTTTCCACTGCCCTAACATCCCACACTAATGATTATGGTCCTGATAATATTGCAGTAAAACTAATAAAATCTAGCCTTCCTGTTCTTTACCATATCTACAATTTTTCATTGCAAAACCCCATATTCCCATCTTTCTGGTAAACTGCCCTTGTCCAACCTTTGAATAAAATTTCCGACACTACCTCACTGCACGACTTCCGTCCTATTTCTCTCCTATCCAACCATTCAAAGCCGTTATAACGCCGTGTTCAAAATCAACTCTCAAACTTCCTCTAAGAACGTACCTTCATGAACCCACTCCAATATGGCTTTCAACCTGGATACTCAACGCAATCTGCTCTAGATAAAATAACCTATGACCTCCAAAACTACATTGAACACTAAAAACCTTACTATCCTCATCCTTCTAGATTTTTCCAAAGCGTTTGACACAGTTGACCATAACATCCTCGTAACTAAAATCCAAAATCTTCCTCTATCCAGCAGTTCAAATCCTCACTTTCAAATCGGTCCCAGTAAGTAGTCGTCGCAGGTCAACCACCATCTAAGACCACCCCCTCTCCTGCAGTGTCCCTCAAGGTTCCTCTCTATCCCCTAATCTGTTTGCTATTTACATTAATGACCTTTCCTTCCTGATCCATCACTCCCAATACCATATCTATGCCCTTGATTTCCAAATATACCTGCCTTTCCCGCCCTCCGACCTATTATCAGCGACAGAAAAACTTCAAGAAGACTTGGATAGGATTTGTGACTGAGCGAGAGCCTACAAGTTGAAGTTTAATGCAGAAAAGACGACGGCAATCTTAATAGGCTCCAATCACCTCCTTAAAACTGTTCCATATATTCCAACTCTGTTCCTAAATGATAATACTATATAATTTTATCCCCCCATCAAAAACCTTGAAATAACCTCTGATCAAACGTTTTTCTAGAAAAAAACATGTATCCAATATTTCCTGCCGTATCATTTCCACCTTAAAACGTCTAAATTACTCCAGTCACCAATTTCCCCTTGAAACTCGTCGGCTCCTAGTCACTTCCTTAATTTTTCCCTTACAATTATTTTTATTTTTATTAGTTTGTGTATTATTTATTGTAAATAGAGTATGAGTGTGCTCTCTGAACAGTATTATAAATGTCCTTGATTGTGACAGAATGTAATATTTTTTAATAAAAAAAAATATATTTCCTCCAACTTTGACTATTGCTGTACGGTGTATGGGGGCATCTCTGCTGATCTCGAGGCAAAACTAAAAAGTTTGATAAATTGCTTTGTACGATTCATCTTCGGGATCCCAAGGGACGCCTCTGTTTCCCGTTTTTATGCAGAGTTGAAGTGGTTTTATCCTTCCTGCCGTCGTAAGTATTGCCTGGCATCTATCCTCTTTCAAGTCATCCAATCCTACCGTCCTTCATACATCCCAAAGCTCCTTCAATTCAAATCCTCTGTTCGTTCCCGCAATACTCGTTCTCGGTCTTCTGATTTATACATAAGGGCCCACCGAACCGCTGCTTTCGACAGATCGTTCATTATCCGATCCTCATCCCTATAGAACTCCATCCCTTCCCACATCCGACAATCCAATACCCTTCCTACCTTTAAATCCCGCCTGTTCAATCATTTCTTATCCTTCCAGTCCCCATAAAATTGTAAATAAGATACCACTGCAAATATGTATATAAATTATTAGATCGTTCTTCATTATTTTTACCTCCTTTTTTTATTTTTTATCATTACTGATTGAAATTATAAAATAACTTATAATTTTTTTATTATGACTACTTAATTACTCTGTATTTTTGTTTATTTATCTCTGAGGATCATTAGCCCACATTTCTGTCTTTCTGTACTAATCTAAAGAAACTCGTCCCAGAATAATTAAAGTATTATTATTATGATTAAAAATTCTTCATTTATTGGCGTAACAGCTGAATATTGTAGCTGAAATTAGTCGACTAAGTACTCTGAAACCTATTTTAATTTAACTATTGTAATTAAAAAATAATGCAAAAATGTCGTGTTTTAGGTTCATGAACGTAAATTATTTAGTTAAGGAATTTGGACCGCTGTTTTATGGCGCCATTCCGCCACTGTTCAGGAAAGGTTTCGAAAAATGACAAATCTACAAAAAATTAGATAATGATAACAAAATGTGTTTAGCCTTAAATTCTAGTATGTTATGTATTTACTAGTACAATTAGTCTGCAATACAGACTCCTTTTTATCAAATTATTAACATCCATCTAAAACTTCATCTTACCTTAATCTAAAACCTTTTTTATTTACGAATACTCTTGGAAATAGTAAGTTTTCAATCCGGAGATTAGTAAACTTTGTGGCACTGTAGCATTTTGTAATATTTATATATTGGAGTTAAGGCAATTGTTAGATTTCCCACTCAAACGGATTTTTGAAATTAGATTTTCCACTGAAAATCTTCAAGTTCTCTTCGCCAGAATCATCAACACATTGATAATGGTTTTTAGGATGTTTGAAACTTTTACATGTAAATGGTATCTAATAGATTGGGACATGGTAGGAAATAATACATTTGAAAAAACAAAAGGCATAAAATTAAAAGCTCAAATGATACTTTTGTATCGTATAGTTGGATATGAAAAGATAAATAAATACCCAAGCTATTCTGAAAAGGAATTATAATTACGCTGTTTATTTAGCAACTTTATATAATTTGGTAGCTCTGCTAATAAATAAAGTATCTTTCTCTTCTTCTTCTCTCGCTATCTCCTGTGAGCTGCTAAGCGTGGAGTAGCTGCCTCTGACCATCTTGTCCAGCGGTCCCTGTCCTGTGCAAGCCTTCTCATCTCCGGCATGGTGCTTCCTTTCGCTGTGTCAATTCTCTCAATCAGGTCTGCATACATAAGCCTTAGCTGCATACATAAGTCGTGTTCCAGTATCACACTATTGCTCTGGGTGTTCTCCTTTTCTATGTTGCCATCCATATCGGGGACTTCTGGTTCAGTATTCTACATCATCTACGGCAACCTCAAAAATTTCGCCGCCTTTATTCCATTCGGAATTCTTCTTGAAAGTATTCCTCCAAACCTCCAGTATGTCCTAGTCTTCTGTCACCAGTATGTTATACTCATCCTTTACACTTCTCACAGGCTTTCCTTTTTTTGTTCCTTAGTACTCTTGCCAGAATTTCCTTATATTTTCTTTATAGTTTTTATCCAGTTCTAGCCCGAATTCTTCCCAAGATTTTCTCTTCCCTTCCATAATTATTCTCTTAGACTCGTTTCTTTTCTCTACTTACAATGCTCAATCTTCTGGCGAATCGCTTCTATAGTATTGTTTCCAGATATGGCTCGTTTGACGTTGTCGCTCTACCACCTAGTTTTCTTAGTAGTAGGTCGTATTTGCTGTAACCCACATACTTCCTCGGCTGCCTTGAGTATATTGAATTTGATTTTCTCCCAAATAGTGTTAACATCTGCATCCCCATTAACTTCTTGAAGTTGGACTGGAAGGCGAATTGTATAAGCTTGCTCTTTTTCCTCTTCTCTCAGCTTGTTGACAGGTATTTTATTATTTGACTTGGCGATGTTTTTCTGCGGTTTTAGTATCTTGGAGTCAGCAACCAATAGCCTGTAATCCGTATTCAATTCTGCCTCTCGTATAACTTTAATGTCTGAGTTTCTTATCGATGATAAAATAATCAATGATGCTGTTTCTGGTAACTCTTCCATTCCCTCTTTCAAATGTGACTTTATGGATCGTCTTATACCATATAGTTATACCGTTATACTATGAGTTTCCAATGAGCATATTATTTTCCACGCAGAACTGAATTAGCCTGATTCCATTGTTATTGATGCAGTCTTCACCTTCCCATATACCCATCGTTCCGAAGCCTGCTTGATGATCCCGACCTGTTCTTGCAATTAAATCTTCGGATACCATGATCATTCTATTCCGGTTCCTTGCGTAATCTTTCTCCTAATTATTAGGTTTGGAAGATGATTACAGTGGTTAAATGTGGGATTAGAAATGTAGTAATCAGTGAACGCATCAAAAAAGTTTTTAAAATTCCACTCTTCGGTTCATTTACATTTGTGTTGAGGTTTGTAAAGACACAGTCATAGAGACCCTAGCGGCATTTAAATATCAAATTATCAATTTTTCACACCAAACTTGAATTTCAGTCAACCTGAGATATAGTCCATAGTAAACATAATTTTTATCAAATGATTATCATTATTCTAAAACTTTGTGAATGGCTTCATCTTATTGAAACTAACAAAGTATTTTATCGAAGAAAATTCTCAAAAATAGGACGTTTATTGATTAAATTAATAAATTGAATGAGATTCTTAAAACTCATTGATATATATATATATATATATATATATATTAAACAAAAAAAAGGCGGATACTCCAATTACAAAGCCGATTAACTACCATTTTTTTTTTTACTCTCTTACCATTTCTGGACAATATATATATGTCCCACATCCTCTGGAAAGTAAAGCATGACTCCAGCATATACCTTTGCATACAACAAAATTTTATTTGAATTTGATATCCATTTCATAATTTTATAATTTGATATCCAACTATGCTAGACAAAAGTATAATTTGAGCTTTCAATTATTCGCCTTTTGTTTTTCGTGTCTATTCTTTCCTATCATGCCCCAGTGGTAATAGTTTTATCAATATTTTGAACACTTATAAGTGTTCGTAATATAATATTAGGTACTATCTACATGGAAAAGTATAAAAAAACCTAAAAATCATTATCAATGCGTTGATGACTGTGGTGAAAAGAACTTGAAGATTTCCAGAAGCTCATACTACACTGGACAAAGAATCAAAATTATTTGATACATTAAAGCTCGTATAGGTATATTATTCAGCTACTATTGTTTTGCGTCACGTTTTTTTCCAAAGAGGTAGTTGAAATTGACAAAAATTTTGGATATTTAACTTGTTTTGTGACAGCATTACTGAATGATCTGTTTTGTTGTATTGTAAATAAGACTTGAGATCCTCGAGTCTTACCAAAAAAAAGTTAATTTAGTTCTATCATCACTTGCTTCCACCGCATTTGCTTAATATTTTAATATTTGTTGAAGTACTTCAAAATAGAACTGCCATGTCATGGTTGATGTTTTGATAGCATTTAACGTTGAAATTAAGAGGGGTTTATCGCACAAAGGCAAATTGTAAATGGACTGTGTATTGGCACTTGAATAAAAAGTATCTTAAGAGATTTAAACATGTAATGTTATTGTCATAAAATTTGATAATTTAAAGATAGAATTTTATGATATACGACATTCAAACTAAGTATAACACAGGAACAGATATGGAGTCAATGAGAGAGTTGAGATACTCACAATACGATCTCCATGATTCTTCTTGAAGTAGGATTACCTAATTTGGAATAAATTACATGTACCATTGACTAAATTCAGTGAATTCACTTATATTCTTAAGATGAAAAAACAAAAAAAAAACAAGTCTTCATAAACCAATGAACAATTTCGTTTATTTTAAAGGTTATAATAAATTGGTTAACTACTTAAGCTATGAAATGTACATATGACAAATGTGAAAAATACTAAAACATAATTAGGAATAATTTGTTACTCTCTGTTAATTACATAACTGCTTTGGAAAATTGTATATAAAATACCTATTTAGTAAAAAATAAATAGTAAAAATTTGTTCATAATAACAATTTCTGATCTACAATATCCCAAAACAAGAATTCATTAAATAATAAGTTCTGATAAAAGCTGAGTTTGCTAGTAGGGAAAGGGAGTTTGTAGGTAGGGGCAGAGAGTTTGTTTTCCGATCAAGTGCCTTTCTTTTTAGTTTACTCTCTTGCTATTTCTGGTATATGGAGAGATGAGGAGAGAGGTGCATTTTTAGAAGTAATCTCCTCTGTACAAAGTTGGAAACTGCACTGCTAGACCCAATGTCAAAATTTACGTTTCAGCATACTCGACTAATACGACCTCAAAGAATAGAGGAGACTGGATTCGGTTATGAGAGTCATCATATTAGCTAAACTATAATGAATTTTTGATAGATTTATAGGGAAGAAAGGGATATTGTGCCTGTCTGAACGTATTTAACAGTATTAGTGACGCATGGCGCGTCATTAACGCTAGTAGAGATCTTAATTTATAACTGACAAAAATAACTATTTTTATTCTATTTCTTTTAATAATTGTTGTTATGTACAGATAACAGTAATGAATATTTTTTTCTTCTAGTTTGCTCCAATGATATAACCATTGAACTTATGGACAAAGGATCCAGTTTTATAAATGAGGACCTGGTTTAACCTCTAATTTCACTGAAAATATAATAAAACTGTTTATGAATAAACTATAATATATAACTCTTCAAGTAATAAAACTATTAGAAAAGAAGATAAAAACTCTTCTTTCATACTTGATACTAATTGGGCTTGATGGGACAGCTTCCACCCTTCCAAAATAGAAAAAAATAAAAAATAAAATAGCAACAAATTTCTGAAAAAGTATTCACTGCTACAGGTTGATTGCTAACATATGAATATTTTAAAAGAAAAACTGATTTTGAAAAATGGAATACCATTTAATTGAAAGAAATTAAATTTTAAAAAATTGTCTACTCTTTCGAGGCAATTTTTTTTTTTTAAATTGCTACAACTTTTGTAAATATCTCAAGGTTGAATGTAAACTTAATATGGCTAGCAAAATAGTTTTTAACAGTGTTGTGTATAAATGACTAGTATAAGGGCATAAAACAACTCAATTTCATTTATATATATAAAAAAAATTATTTATTTTACATGTACATTTACAAAAACTGTTCAATAAACAGTTTAGGCCAGATAAATACCTCAAAAAAATGACTAGTTTGATTTCGTTACACAAACTGAAAATGACATAACTAATAATCAAATTGTTATTTAAGAATATATTTCAGTTATACTTTTTTACGATTCATTCAATGATACTCAAGTATAAAAGTAAAACAGTATGCTTATTCTAATACCACAAATATCATTCTATCTATATCTATCTATCTATATATATATATTCATGTATATATACAAAATGGAAGAACTCACACTCATTTATACAACATAATAGGTAAATGTGAGGAGGAGGCTCACATTTTATTAAAATATTTATTTAATTGCTTAATAACTAGTGATATATGAAAAAATCTACAATATAAAAAAAATGATATATTTGTGCCTAAAAATTATAAAAAATAGGGATATTATTCAACTAAATCAACTAGTTCATTATTAAGTCTCTGATGGACAGTACAATATTCCACCTTTGTATGATAGCAATGGAATTTTAAATGAAGATATTGGCAGTTTTTTGGCAACCTAATTTGTAAGAAAAAAAAAATTATAATGCCATGAGGTTCAACTTGGCTTATCACAGTTAGTAATTGCAATTTGAAGATACATTTAAGTCATAATAAGTATTTTTTTTATTCATCAAAGATAAAGATAGGAACATAATAAAAAGTCTAAAGACCACATTTCACATTATCTATTCAATTTCAGGCACATAATTCAAAACTGCCAAATCAACCCTACGAGTAAATAATAAGTTACAAGCCAACTATGATCACTGCTATCAAAATATTTGATATGGTTGAGAATTCAAAGAATTAATGCAAGAATGTCGAAAAATAAAAATAGATATGAGGAATCAATGAAAAAAATTAATCATCCCATTTGCCAATTATATCAATTTATATTTGAGCAAATACTGGCATAGATGATGATATAAATCAATAAAATATATACGGAGGCAAGATATAAATTGACATTCAACATTTTTGCCATTCTGGAAAACTGCAAACCGATATTATAATTTGTGAACCTTATTTATTTCTATTTTGCTTCACTTTACCTACCTTATAAATTGTAATCAATTGACACAATAAATTATAAAATTCTGTGAATATATTAATTAATAATTTTGTTTTACTTCTTAATGTATTTTTAATCATTCAATTGAATTTGGAGAGAATCTACCAAATATAATATAAAAAAAAAATATAGTTCATTAAAACAAATAAAATCTTAAAGATATATAAGATGATTACTAGGGAATAAGACATATTGATCAATACCCAGACTTTAAGCTGGTATCTCTAGCAGTACAGCATTTTCGAACGAAGCTTGTAATATATTTTAAGATTATTTTTATAAACAGTAATAAAAATGCATCAAATTGCATGTGAATGTCCATTTTCTTAAATGTACATACACTAATCATATAACTACTGCTGATATTGTGCAAACTAATAATCCAATTCTTTTGTTTATTGCTCACGTTTGATTTGACTTTATCAATGTTTTGACAAATAACATGTGAATAGAAGGGCTGTTTAAAAAAAAAGTACCTTTCACAACCTCAACCATATAGAGTGATAATTTATAGCGTAATTGACTTATTACTTATTACAAAATAATTTCAATTATTATATATTTACCATTCTTTTGTGATCAATTTATACTGTTACAAGTATTTATTCTCCTAATTATGGTATTATTTATTCACAGTTAAATATTTTTAAAAAAATAAATAAAAGTTTAAGTTAAATCAAAATATAATTAAATTATAAGATAATTATTAATATAAGTATTTTTAAAAAAGTCACTTATTAATTTATCTGAACTAACTTCATGGGTACTAAATAAATAACAATAATTAAAAAAAAAGCAGAATAGAACATGTTAGTGAAAAACAAAAACAAACAGTGTCATTTATATAATAGCTTTCATTCATGGGTATGTAGCACAGAGCATAAATCATGTATTTAATAAGTTAATAAGAAAAATTAATAATAAAAGCTCGTATAACCACTTTATATCTATAATATAAAATATTTTTTATTTACATAACTGTAAAAATTACTTTTTTTCTTATTTTCATTGGGTTTATTTAATAAATAATAGTAAACTATATTAAATACACCTTTACAAATTACAATCATACATATTCTACTAGATGTACCTGGTGACTAAGACAAATTACCAAGAGGGCATGAAATTATGGCACACGTAGCTAATAAAAATAGTAATAACAAAATATTTACAAAAATAAATTACACATTTCCGCCTCTGACAATGAAAGGACCGATTGATGGCAATCGTAAGTTGCGATTGCTCGTACTACAATAGAAACTAACTAGAACAAAAGGAATGAAATAAAATCATTTCAGCTGAACTATTTACAGCGACAAAGGAGCAAGACTCGATTAGTTTCCTGGAGAGCTGCTCATGTACCCTGGCGATGGAGATTCACATTTTTCTGGCACAGTTGTGATACTTTTCAACTGAAACATCAAAAATAATGTAACCATATTGGAAGCTGCTTCATTAAAATATGTATTGTTATATTGATAAATATTACGAAGGTAGTTTGTTAAAATTTATTTTCTTAACAACAGTACATTCTTGATTATCCAGGTACTTTATTAACTTAGAGGAATTTATTTTAATATAATAATAAATTTTAAATGTAACAAAAAGATGAAGGAATAAATGAACCATCATAATTTTGCAAAAGAAATTCAGAAAAAACCTCCTAAAATAATGTTTACGTTTTAAAATTCTACAAAAACCATCGTCTAATGCTATATATACTAATATATTACATCATAGTTATTCGACCAACAGCTTGAACTGTTCACTTGGAAAATATCAGTAAAACTAAAGAATAATGTTTTATCCCCAGAAAAAAACAAAAAAAATGATATAATAAATTGTATTGGTGATAAAGGTGAAAGTGTAAGAAAAATTTAGAGAGAATGTGGAATTGGCAAACAAACTATTTAGAATTTTCTAAAAAATAGAAAAAAAAAATAGAGGAATTTGATTCTTAAGTAGAATCAACTTCTCCTTTTCCCCATAAAACTTTGAAAAAATTCACTATTAGTTGATATTTTCGTTTTTATAAACACAAATCTATTATTGGTTTTCTTTCATCCTGTATATTAAAATTAATCATATATTAAAATATAAACATTCCACAAATAATATAAATGGACCTATTTCAATCTGTATGAGAAAGAATTGAACACCAACATTTAGTTCAGTTTCCTAAAATCAAATCATATAAAAATAATATGTTACATATAAAATAAAACAGAACATCTTACTTTTATGTCACTTTCGAGAATGTAGCGATCAATTTTGTGGTATTCCTTACCACTCCTAGGCCGTAATGTTGTGGCAGCAATGCGACCCAATCTGTAAAAGATAAATAATTATAGTTAAAATACAATAAAGCCAATAGAAGAAGTATTTCCCTAATTTAAATTATTTAGTTATGATCCCAAACATAGGCCATTATTTACGTATAAGGATAATTCAACAAAGAAATACAAAATATAATAAATATAAAGCAAAATAATGGGGAAAATAAAATTATGAGAAAAATAAAACAAGTAAATACTAAATCCTCTACCTTAAACTGTCAGGCGTGTCTGAGGAGCTGTGTGATGATAATGAAAGAGTTTCTATATAATCTGACATATCTGAGGTACCACTGGAAGTGCTTCTTGAATCCGTATAGGGTACAACAATAGCTCCATCACCCCCAGGACTACAATATTCTGAAATATAATAAATACCCAATTTAATTTTTTTTTTTATCATAATTTAAGTGAGATGGCCATTATTTCAATCAAGTATAGCAAAAATTTCAGAAACAAACACATGAGATTGTTATTATATTTAACACAAAGTTACATGCTCTATTGACATTAATGATTTAAACTTGTTGAAATGAAAAATATTCCAAATCGTAACATTTGAATTAAATAAGAAACAGAAATTTCATAACTTGTCTTAACTAATCAGGTAATGAAATAAGATTTTTTATATCTCTAGACATTGTTACAAGAAATATGACACAGTCGTTTCGATGACCCAAATTTCAAAAGAAATGGGAAAACCCTTCAGATCATACACTTCAACTAATTTTGTTTTTTATTCACCCTTATGTAAACCAACAAGGCTATGAACCGTGGATGGGATACATGCCTTCCCGTTAAGAGTTGGGTCTCTGGTGTGGACAGGATATATGCCTTCCCGGTAGTGAGTTGGGTCACCGGGATGTATGCCTTTGGCCTAGGCAGTAGCCACTTAAACAGATAGGGGCAAGTCCCACCTTCACCATTTGACTTGTGACTTGGTCGGTACATTCATTAGTCCCCTGTAGCTGACTCAGTGTGGTCGTTCCGGATTCTATCCATTTGGAAGCTATCAGTTGCAGATTTATTTTGAACCCAAGGTAGGTAATTTCCTGTTATTTGTTTCATAAATGTTTTATGCATCAAATAAATGTTAATAAGTTAATTTTATAATTTTTTATTTTATTTTTGGTATTGACTGAATGCTGATTTTGGCACAGGTGAATCTCTGGCTAATAAACAAATAAATGGAAGTTTCCTACACATATATATAATGTAATAAATTAATGTAAAAAAAGTACAACAATTAAAATATAATAATAAAAATTAATAAATATAAAAATATATAGAATTAAAATGATACTTCAGTTGTTTTATCATTTTTCCATCCACCTAAAAACTATATATACATATTTCATATAATATAAAAGTGTTTGAAATTCAAAATAAATGTAAGTGCAATAATAAAATTTATAACTGTGCTACGTTTCAATGTGGAATTTTTTTAAGAAAGAAAAAAATTTGTAAGTACAAAGAAATATATAATTAGAATCCCGTTGTGGGTGTCCTCTTTTTAGAAATAATATAATTTAATTTTTATGATCATTTACAGTTATTTTTATGATAATTTTAAGTTATTTTGCTTTTCTGGAATGAGAAAATATGCAAGAAAGGAAGTGTTGCAGGATTGCCGCTCTAATTTTACATTGCCATATGTGGGTGGGAAGCCATATATCCCGTTTTTTTAAAGTTGAATAAAAACTATAAAAATGCATTTTTGATAGCGAAGATCTTGGAGGGAGACTTAAAATAGCATTTTAAACAAATGTATGCAAAAATAAGAACCCTGTTTTTTTTTTTACATCTTTGTGGATGTATGGTAGAAACTCCCAAATGAATTCCTGCAGTCAAAGAGTTAACAATTGAATACTCTTTTCAAAAAAGCAGTTTTTCTTTTATTTATAACCAATAAAAAAATAATAATGGAATGATGGATGTAATTTCCATTTTAGGTTTATTTAAAAAAAATAGTCTTAAATTTTTACCTTTAGGCTCCCTTTTGCCATGACAAATGGGTATTTCGGCTTCAGCTGAGGATGACTTGGCAGGTACCTGGAAAATGAAAATTTAAATAAACATTGAGAAAGTATTTCCATCATTTGAGTTTTTTTATTTCCTAAATGAGCCCTAATCTCTATTAACAATTTGTCATCAAATGCAAAAAAACTATATTTTCTATTTCTTGTGTGATATCAAAAACAATATTTAAAAGAAAAAAAATTTAAGAACTTTATTTGTATAAAATGTTTCTCAATAATTCATTATTATTTCAATAGTAACTTAAAAAAATTGAAACATAAATAGGGTTCCTTTTGAAACCCATTAAACTTCAAGGTCCTTTTTGGAACAAAAAAGGTTAGTAGTTTGCATTGGAGAGACAAAATTATGTAAAATTTATAAAGATTGTACTATAAAAAATTAACTTTTTGGTTACAAAAATTGATTACAGTTCACTTTGGAAACAAGCGACTTATTTTATATTTTTCCAATAGTTAAAAACTAGTGGTAAATGAAAGTTAAGTGATTCATTGCACTAGATTTTTTAAATTATTTGCCCATTTTATAATACAATATCATAATAGATTTTCATATTTAGAAATAAAAAAAAAAAAAAAAAGTTCTATTCACCTTGATTTTGTGGAACTGAAAACTGAGCTGACTTAATGGGTCCGACGATTTGCTTCTCCTCGGTAGACTGGAATGAAGACAAGGTGTCTCCTGGGCGAGGCGCAGGCGCCTGCACGAAAGAGCTGTGGTCAGTGGTAACTCAAACTCTCCAAAGTCCTCTCTCTGCTTCAGCGACCCAGTAGACACTCCAGAATCAGCAGAACTCGAACTGTCTCTGTTGCCAGGCTTGCAAGGCACAGAACAAGATCTTCTTACCTAAAAAAAATAATATTCATTTTAAAGATATAATGTAAACAAATTAAATACATTTTAAAAATGTTTATTTAATTAACTCAATGAATAGTATAGTGTAAGTATCGTTTGTCATATCTTATAAATATTAAAAAATGTTATAGAGAATTCAGAAAATATGATGATAAAAGAAATCATTTTTTTTTAATTAAAAGTATTTTTCATATATAAACTCTTTCAGTTAGTGAAGCTCTAGGTTTAGCTATACGTATATCTACTATGATAAATCTCAAGGAAGCCAGTGGCAACAATCTTCACTGCATCATAAGGCTTTCATCAGCCTAAATAAAAAGATTCTAGAAGTGTATCTATTGAACTAAAATTTCTGTTTAATCTCTACATAAAAATAAAAAAAAATTGTTAGGGAAATATTTAATAGAAAATTACTTTGCAATATTCTGAAGTTTAAGTGAACAGCAAACTATTTATACAGTTAATACTTCAAAACATTTTTAACAAAAATTTTAATTAATTCAGTAAACTTTGACCTAAGGTTGCTAACGTGAAGTACTAACCTGTACAACTGTTTCTTGTAATACTGGAGCAGGAGGTTCTTCAGTCCTGGATGGTTGTGTTGGTGGTGGAGGAGGTTCCTTTGAGCAAAGTGTGACATCATCATCCTCACCCCGGCTAGAATCTGCAGAGCTGGACCGCTTACGTTGCATAAGAGGAGCTCTTCTAGTCAGGTAAGGAGAAGAGTTTGCAGACTGGGGGTGGTTAAGGCCTAGCATAGCAGAGCCAGGGACCCTCATATCTGAATCTGACCTCCTGTTACACCGATCACTCAAAGAAGGTATACTTGAAGCTCGGTCTGAAAGTCCTCTGCTCAAACGAGATTTAATAATATCACTCTTAGAACTGGGATGCATAGGCAGGTAACCAGGAAATTTGACACCAGGTTTGGCCGAAGGTTCCATCATAAGATAGTCGGAGTTCTCCTCACATGCATGACCACACTTGCTGCAGAACTTTACACCATTCTTGTCAGTATCAAAACAAGGAATTTCCTTATTTAAACCAGCTTTTTGCAGAACATCTCTAGCGTTCTCATAGTATTCTAATGAATGGGCAAAATCTAAGTTTTCATAGTTCACATTTTGTTCACCTTTGCAGTCCTTCTCAGTTGGATCGATGTTGACATAGTTGGAATTGTTTTCTGAATTGGTAGTATCATTATCAGTTTCATCGACAGTTTCGATTTTGTTGTCCTTTGTTTCTAAATTTCTATATTTGACTTTTTTCGATTTGTCAACAGTAGCATATATTGCAAGTTCTCCAGATTTATTCATAACGGGCATTTTACCTTCTCCACTTAATTTTACCTAAAAATTAAATAAATAAATAAAAATATATATATTTAATAAGTAAAAATAACATTAAATAAAAATAAATATATGACAAAAAAAGGAGGGTGGAAGAACAAAATCCTTTAAATAGGCGAGGATAAGCCCTGAATTTAAGATATTTTGTCTTACAAATTCATGAAACAAATTAATCGTGCAAATTGAATAGAACAATGGATGTAATTTTAAATGTAATCATTACTTTTTAATCAGTATTTTAAAATAATGAAAGTCGATATAACAAACATACAAGTGTTGTATTTAATGGAAGCAATTAAATATAAATTATATGTATTCAATAGATTACCTTGTGTAAATGTACAGAAGTATTTTCGATTCCATTTCCCCGGCGACAATAAGGCAAGGAGATCCACGCAGAAGGCCAACACAATATCCTACAAGGACATTGTTGTTGTTGCCATGGTTCATCAAGTACCACCTTTGTCTGGCAAGCACAAAGAGGGCGATCATATTCTGCAAGTTCAGTTTTTACTGATCTAGGTGTGTCATAATATTCTTCTGGAGGACGAGGTTGATTCCTAACAGTGCCTTTTTCTTCCTAGGATTAATATTGAAAACTTCAGTAACATCAATTTAAACATTTATATTTTTTCTCTTAATATTGATATTAATATTAATCTGCATCTGCAAACTTTTTGATTTTTCTGAAATGATCTGTGTTCTGCATCAAATATTTTGGGTCTTTAAAATCAGACTTAGGTATGACCGTTGTATTTTGTTTTAATGTCATACTTAAATTGCAGCCCATTTAAATTATTATAAACAAATTAATATTAACTATGAAAAATGAAGTCATCTATTTTCAATTGAATCTTTACATCTGTAAGTATGTTCAGTTATTTCATAGATAAATTTCATGTTAAATAAATTTACCGGTATTTGAGGATAAATTGTTTTTGGAACGTCGTAATTGGCGAAGTTTTGATTCTGGAGAGCAGGAGACGGCATAGGAGGTTTCTTTGTTTTGGCGACATCTCCAGGTTTAGGCGGCCTTCCCGGGCCTTCACAGTCACACTGGCCTACTTTTTCTGACCTATAAAATTAAAGCATTATCTTAATCAAGGAGAATAAACAAACAAACAAAATTAAGAAGTAAAAATAAAACATACATGAGATCTGTCTATATATTTTAATATCATTGAATAATTTTTAAATTTATTTACACTGATATATGAAGCTGAAGACTTTTTTTTTAATACACTAATTTAACAAATTAGTGATTGAAAAAATTCTTTTTGCTTTAACTAGACCTTTAACAGAACAGCAATCAGAAACGTTAATCATTCAGGAATATTTTAGATAATTACACTTTCCTACCTTTCGGTGACAAACTTTAAAGCATATTGAAGTTGAATAAGAGAAACCTATGAAAATATTGAAGGGTACAGTAGGTTTTTCTTTAATAGTTTAAAACATGGTTTTCATAAAAAACATAGTATAAAATAAAAGTTTTTAATAAAAATAAATTATGTAATTCTTATAAAAAAGAAAATAAATTTCAAGTAGATTCCCTATAAAAGTTAACTATGCCTACCTGTCATTACTAGGTAATCTAGGAATCGAATACTCAGAACCACTTTCATGGGATGAGACTGACATGGTGCTGCAATTACTGTTATGAGAACCACTTCCTATACTTCGGCCTACAAAAAATAAATATGTTATATTAAAATAAACCATTATAAACATTACGTAAATTACAAAATCATTAGTATCATAAGAGTAAGCACTACTATTGCCAATAATAGCCTCACCCATATCCATGACCCAGGCAGGACTGAAGGCAGCTGCAGGTGTATTGGCTGCTGTTGACGAGCGCGACATAGCTCCTAGCTTACTGATACAGCTGGCGCACCTTCCCATTCCAGGCTCCATGCTCCATCGACTTACATCCTATATTTTAAAAATATTTTTTATTGATCGATAAAAGATACATATCAGGTATGAGGAGTGGTCATTTATACTTAAGGAAGAACAATACTCAAGGTACTAAAAGATTATACAAAATATTTGTTACAAACTAAGAAGAATCAACAAGAGAACAGCACGTGCCTCGTTGTCTATTGTTCACCTCATGTTACTTTTGAGACACACTTCATTCCCATGAGGTAACATGTACTGAAGCATTTCAGGGGCTATTAAGTAACGACTTGCTTTTGACTATTGTTCCTTAGCTTCCCTTGTTCCATCCTAAGGCTTTCTAAGGTTCATTTATCGTCTAGACTTTTAAACTTCTTCTTTAAGACCTATCCCTCTAACTTCATAATAGTTAGGAACATCATCACTGAACAAGTCCTACAATCCTACTTCCTTAAACAATGGACTGTTTCCATATTAAGAGTTCTTGATTATGTTTGAAGATATATTTTGTAATGTAGCTTTATTTCAGGCATAAATCAATTGGTTATAAAATAGGTTTTCACTTGTTTCTTATTTGCAATTGTTCTGAATTACTAAGCTCATTTGAATTGTACTTAAAGATAGATTAGTTCATAATAGTTTTTTTTTTTTGGCTCTAAAGACCTGAACTAGCCTTCTTCAACTCGCCTATCTCAAGTTAACAATTTCCAGTTTGCTGCATGCAGCTCTACTACATCTTTACTGATTCTATCGATCCATCAGTTTTCTGACCTTCCACATGGTCTCTTGTCAACCATTTTGGTATCCATCACTGAGGAGACCCTTTCTGTTAGATTGCTTCTGATATACATGTCCCATCAATCGTAACCTCCTTGCCTTTCTAATAAGTTATTTAGATTATATATACAATTAAATTAATAATTAGTATAAAATTATAATCAGTTTAAGTAAAATCTAAAGCAAAACAATAACATAAGTAAATCTCAGCCAATCTTAACTACCTAAAGGGATTTGGTTTGTATTAGAGGAAAGAGAACTTTGTAACATTTTTCAGCGTTTTTCTAGACTTTTCACTGTGATATTACATAAAAGAGGTTTTTTATTATTTTGGTTTTGTTTGAGCAATGTCAGAAGATACTATATTAAATCTTCGATTTGTTTTTAAGGTTCTTATTCAGAACAAAATAATTTAAATTTGTAAGAAATAATGTACCATTAACACTTTCATCTCAATGGGATGAATAAATAAACATAAAATAAAATTTAAAAAATGAATGATGGAATTATAAGTAGTTAAAAAATCATATAAAACAAACACAAACTTTTTTAAAAGGAACAGCTGTAATAAATGACTGATTTATTATACCTGAGATTGGTCAGGATAGTCGCTGACAGAAACTGTATCACCAAAGTCAACACTGTCAGTAGTTCGTGTTTCTGTCGAAGGCCAGTCATGAGAACAACTGTGCTCGCCCATGTCTATCCTTTGGCAAAGAGAAGCACTGTCACATCCTGCACTGCTCAGCCTAGTCAGGCACTTCCTCGGAGAGTCCATCACTGAAATAATTACCAATATTATTGTAAGTACACAATTTTGAAGCTTCCCAATAAATTACATTATCTTCTAAGAAAGCAACTGTTTTCAAAATCACAATATATCTATAATGGAAAACATCATCATTAAACATATTCAGAAAAATAAATACAATAAAAACAAGTGTTACCTGACATATTCCTCGAAGAAGACCTTCGACGTGTTGAAAGCAATCTTCCTTCAGAAGCTGCCTGAAGTGTTCTCGTTATCTCCTCTGCCTGGTCTGTGATAAGTACATACAACCCTTCACCTTTTCCACACCTTGAACCACCCTCAAAACAGAATCTGCCTTCTACCACACCATATCGTCTGAAATAATATGAATCATTTCCACATAGTAGAATATGAATTATTGTATTGACATGGACTCAAACGCAATGTGTTAGTACGATTACTAAAAAACTCAAGGAAAATACACTACCTTAACTGTGATATTTCCCAGACACCAACCAGCCTTGGGGGTACTCCCAAACTAATACAAAACCTATATTCTTGAACATGGAGTCTTGCTGGCCCTGGAGCCAGTTTGGATTTGTGAGGAGCCGAACATATTTGAACAAGAAACTGCTGATCTGTAAAAGAAGGCATTAACCTTAAAAATATGCTAAATAGTAGAAAATTATCTTTTTTACTAATTTAAGATAACTTCAATATAACAAATTGATTAAAATTATACTTACCTTCCCCCAAATTTGAAGCAATTTTAACTTGCCATTGGATGAGGCGTTCTCTTGTATCAAAAGCCAAAACAACTGTAACATCTTGACAAAGTATAGCAATAGTGTTTGATTCCTTATCTAATGTAAACCCTGCAATATCAAACAATAAAATTATAATTAATCATCATAAATGATCATGAATATTAATTTAATATATAAATTAAATTAGACAAGTCAAGTTGAATTTAGCCAGTGCATCTATCAGTAAACTAAATATATAAAAAGTCTGCAATTAAACTACACTACAAAGAGGTAAGAGATCTTATGAAAACATCTTGTTAATCTTCTAAAAGAAATCAGATGTATCTAATGCATCACTACATGACAATTCAGGAGGTATACAGTGATCAACCATACATCATCACAATAACATTTAAGTTACGAATGTGATAATGGTATTTTTCGAATAAATTACTTTTATTAATTTAATAAAGATTTTTTCAAAATAAGAAAATATATGGGATGCTCTCATGCTGAAGCCTCCCACCAAACCAAAGACAGAAAACTAACTTTTTTTAATTGCACATTTTTATTTCTATGAGTAAATCTGAGCTGAATCTTAACAATTGCAATATATTCTCTTTTTAAATTACAATACTTGTACTTCAGCTTTTAAAAATGTATGTACTTGTCAAGGAAAAAATTAAAGTTTTATCCTTAAAAGTGTTATTGTCCTTTAATTATAGTAAAAAAAAAAACAAAAAAAACTTAGCCCTCCAACATTAGATCCTGAATGAGCTACTGCCACAAAAATATGATTTTTCGCAACCTCATCTTTGGTTTATAACTAAGAGTTACATATATTATTAATAGACTAACAGATGTTAGAAATTATTTATTCTAATCACCTTTCAAAAAAATAATTTCATAATGATAAAACCACGTATAATTATGAAAAATGATGAAACATTGCTCTTAATGGATAGTGCATATAAAGAAATGTATTTAAAGTTGTGTGATCTACAAAAACAAGAATATCATCAGTTTTTTGTAAAAACTAATTCAGTGAGATTTCTTCATAACAAAATAATTAAGAACTTTGAAGAATATTCCCTTTTCGAAATCAGAAAATTGTGCACTTTTTATAACTATATTTAATATAAAGAAGAGTTTATTTCATTTTCATACACTTACAATGCTTTTGTATCAATTAATAAAGTCGAAATTTACAAATACATATCTAAATGTTAACCTATATTAAAAAAAAAAACATTTAGTGTGTGTAGTCTTTTTGCAGTAAACTGACAATATAATGAAAACGTTTTTAAAAATTGTTTTTGAAAAATAATCGAGAATAGCCAATTGTTGTGATGTCAAAATAAATAACTTTGCATTTTGACTTGGAAATTTTGCATATCTTATCCAATGTGGTCTTTTAGGTCATAAAAAATTAAATATTTTATTCAAAGAATTAAACAAAATAAATAATCATTACCAGTTTCTACGCCAAGAAAGTGCTGTAACGAGAGAGAAGCTTTGGTTTGACCTTGCTTGTATCTGTCTTTGCTATCTCGGTACAGCTGCAGATGCAGACAATCTGAAACGTAACAATTATAGGTCATAAGATTATTTATAAATTTTTAACAATACAAAACATGCTAATTTTAAAATAAAACAAATTTAAAATATGTAAATATGCTAAATTTAAAATAATAAATTTATCTTAATAAAAATGTATTACCTGTAATGTTTTCTAAAACAATTGTTTTAAATAAACGTACAAGTTTTTATTATTCCTAAAGTCTCATAAAAGAACATGGAGGTTTCAATAATAATCACCGTCAGAAAATACAATTTTAGTAATAATAACAAACACTCCTCTGTGTTTTATTTAAGATCATTCTCATCAACTTATGTATTTAGACTACAATAAATCACTTTCATATTATTTACAATAGGTTTTATAACAAATTATATATGGTCATATCAACAAATTTGTAAAAGAAATTTAGCATACTGGAAAAAAAAAACTGACATTCCTGATATGAATCAGGAAAGGCTGAAGAAGAGTTGGTTAAACTTCTAGTTAGGTAAAACGATTCTACTAAAGGTAAGAAAGATATACCACTGTCTCCTTCCAGCCTGCAAATGCCATGTTAAATTAAACTTATTTTGTTTGCTAATTATTGTAATAATTTTTAAAGGCACAAATAAAACTAAGATTTTAAAATGTATTAATATAAATATTGATACAATAGATAAATTCAGATATATATTTTTCAAACTTTTTTATTTATTTATGGTTATAAATAAACGATATATAACTACTCTTTACAATTTATTTAAGGTATCTTCAAATTATTGCAATGAAAGTTCCATAATAAGAAATTTTAAAACCAGCTCTAGGACTGGATTTTGAAAGTAAATTATGAAAAAATGTATTTAAGTGGAATTAGGTTGACTTTCTACAAGACAGAGTAAACAAAAAATATATATAGTATAAATTTCATTAATTTTTTACAATAAAAAACAATCCATTTTTTCTTTCTTCAAATATCTAATCTCAGTAATTTATTGAAATTCTTCCTAATAACATTTTCTTTGCATGGTCATTCCATCTCAACTTTTGTTTTCTTCAATTTTACGGTATTTCCCCTCCCCCCCATTTTTCTAGATATTTTGACAGTTTTTCATAATAAAATTATCACCTGAATGAATGAAAGATAAAATTTTAATTTAACCTCAACTTCAATTATTCCTTCAACTATTAATATCTATTCGATAACATTGAATTATTTTAAGATTTTCGACATTGGTGTAGAAGAAATTTAAGGGTTTGATGAGAAAGATTTGGACCACTAATTTTATGTACTTTTTTAAGTATAATAATAAATGCTCTGTAATATAATGTTAAAAAGGAATGAAAATGAAAAGAACAATGAAAAACAAATTTGAAATTTTTTTATTAACTCTACAAAAATTAACCAAGTTCCTATTGTGACAGTACAAATATTATTTGAAGCATACAATGAATTATTTTGAGATTTAAATTGGATACAGTGCTTTTAAAAATAAAAAGATTTATAACCACATTTCCTAAAATAATATATGAGAAAGTAGGCCGAAAATCTAGGTTAGATATATTGTATCTCAATACAAAAAATAACTGTACAAATTCTAATTATTGGTAAACAAAAATAAAAATGCTCTTTTAGATTGATTAATCCATAAATCGGTAGTACTAAATACAAAAAAAAAAGTTAAGATCTTTCGACCAAATAAAAAATGAAAACCTATAATTCTTTCCGTTTGGCACTTAAGTCTTCTGTATAATTTCTTACAAGTTGATTGATAATGATTTTAAATATATGTTAATGTACATACATACAAAAAAGCAGTGGACAGCTGTAAAAGATAAGAAAAATTATTATTTTCCTTTTTCTTATTTTGCCTAAGTTAGAACCACCTGAAGTAAATTAATCTTCTCGTTGCCAATGATAAGTAAGACTAAAGCTATTCAATAAAATAGTCATTAAAAAAAATAATAACAGCAATATGAATATTGTTTTCAATGAACAAAAGAAATGCAATAAATAACTACATTGAGTGTTTTTCAGAAAATCACAGATGTTTACAATTTATCTTATTTTTTAAATTTAAACATATCAAGTCATCAATTAATTTGCCTTAATGAACAGATAATAATAGTTATAAAATAACAGTGTTTGTATTTATAAAAAAAGTACATAAAAATATTGAATTAGACAATTTTAGGCAAGCTAAATGACATTGCCAACAGCCCAAGTGCCACAACCAATGATAATTATTGTATATATATATGTATATACATATATATATATATATATTTGTGATTGGGGCCTTAGTCCTTTATTGATACTCAGTCATCAACTTCATTGTTATAAGAATGAATTATAGATACAATAATCACTTATTTGTTAGCACAATATTTCACACTTTAAAATAAAAATAAAAATTATAAGAGGTGAATAGTATAACTAATAGAACTAACTTAAAAAAAGATTTTTAGATTTGTTTACATAAATTCTAAGGTGAATATCTCAAAGCTATTTTTTTTGGCCGCTGAGAGCGTCTTTCCCCTGTGCTTGAAGTTGCAGGACAAAGAACTGATCGTTGTTTCAATACTTCACTCCTGATATGAACCTTTGGGGCTCTTGGAGACTCGGCATTTATAAATGTGATGTAATTCACTTTTTCTGAGTTACTAACATTGGAATTACCAGATAAATCTAATGAGATATCCTCAATAAGATTTTCTGGAATTAAATTGGCACCTTGCTTGGATGAAGTCTGCTGATCTAAGTGAGCCCAATATGCTTCGCTGGGTGATATTGTGCTTACAGTAGGTGTATGAGACGCATAACGAAAATAAGGATTCTTCAAATCTAAGTAATTGAATGATTTAGTGTCTTCGAACCCTTCTATAGCCAATTCAATAAATATATCATAGCTTTGTTTTTTATTGGCTGTTAAGATAACAGTTCCAACCAAACGTTGTCCAGATTTTGCAGGTAATGGTGACTTTAACAAACACCTAACTTGATACCAATGAGTCAGTGGTTCAGTAGGAGCGGTCGACAGCCAAACAGTTTCTTTAGAGCCCACAAATGCTGCTTCAAACCAAAATGCCAATCCATGGATAGTTCCAGTTTCAAGAATACAAAAGTCTAGGGGTATTTCCATTTTGTGAAGATCTCTTTCTTTTGCAATGGCAAAGTCAACCGAATATCGTAATGATTTGGATAGACAAATTCTTATATCAAAAGAATCGACAATGGGCTGGTGAAAGTATTCTTTCACAGCGACTTCTTTTAATGCACTCAAATCAACATTGTGAAAACAAGTTTGATCCCAAAATTTTGCCTTACTTGTTATTTCCATAAAGAGAGCATCATCCATAAATGGAGCAATATGCAAATCACCTCTGGAAGGAAACATGATACCTCCTGGTTTAAGCCATTTCTTCGAAAAAAGATAAGTTTCTATCATTCTTTCATTAAACAACATGTATCCCAATGGTTCGGAAACAATAATATCGACTTTCTCAGGCAATTCTATCTCTTCTAACCTTCCTGAGATAACTTTGATTTTATCTTGCAAATTATTTGCACTTACTAAAACCTTTGAATGTTGGGCCATCGAACTTGCTTCTACAGCATATACTAATCGAGCACCAGCGTGGACAGCAAAAAAAGATAGAATACCACAACCAGAGCCTACATCTAAGACAACTTTGTCTTTAAAATCATCACTATTTTTAAAAAAAGCCTTCTGATATGTATTTGTCCTAATGTAATCTTGTAACATGTTTTGTTGCTGAGATATATAACCATAAAATTGAAAATATTGTGTAGCTGAAGCCTCATCAGTTCTTTCAGAAAACACTGAGGTCTTCAAATAATGTTTAACTTTTTTAATATTCTCGTGCAAAATGTTCAGTTCATGTTTATCTTTAAATTGAATCATAAAACAATCTCCATCAACAACTAAAATGCAAGAGTCATTTGACACTATATAAAATTCGCAGAATTTATCTATTTTTATTTCTTTTTTAATACTGGTACCTTTCAATACAACAATTACATTATCAGCATCGTTCATTATTTGTAGCTGAGCTACACCACATTTTTTCGATGAGAATTCCCGAATAAATACACTTTCCAAATAAATACCACTTTCAGTTGCCACATCGGTCACATCCATTTTCAATAGATCAGTTGACACAAATTACAAAGTACTTTAAAAGAAGATTACTAATTAAAAACGCTGTGTCTTTCGGCTGTAGGACGACAACTGATATCTTGATTCGTTCAATTGGATATAAAAAGTACTGAAAAAAAAAGAATTCATAAAAATGTTGAATTAAACAAGACTTTGTCGCAGATATAAGACCATGCAAATTAAAAAACACTTACTATATAACAGTAATCGGAAAATACGATCAATAAGGCTTTTATAGTTTACAATATTTAGCGCCAACTGATAAACAAAAGACAATAGGTTCCTCTGTTTAGCTTGTAAAATTTGATCAAAATATTAATTACATCTACAGATATAGGATATTATGAACTACAATTTTACACTACGAATTAATGTTTAAATGAATTAAGTATTGAAAATATATTTATACCAGCATTTTTCTGTTTCGCCAGATGAGGAAAATTATATAAATTAACAGCACCTATTTTTGTGAGTTGGAAGACCATTCTTAGAAAAAAAAAATTCTTTGAAATGTGCATTTAGGTCTAATATTCAAGTATTATTAAAAAGATCGATTGGATTTTCTCTTGTGTAAAAAATAATAGGCGTTTTTTTTATAAGAGAAGGATAATATTGTTTATAGAGAAGTTAGATTGTTAAAAGGGATTGGAAAGCTGGCAATTAGACCACGTCAGGGCTTAGCCGATCAAGTCACCGTCGGATTAGAACTTCCTCATCACAAAGCTCTCTCCCTATTGGCTGAAGGTCTTCCCACACCCCTATGTCTCACCAATGCTTGTTTAATATTTCTTAGTTTGAATTCAAAATTAATATAAGAATAAAAACATTAAATGTATTAATAAATAATAAAAATTGGTGAAGAGGTAAAATACTCCGATATATCTAACAATCTAAAAGAATGTTCGGTATGAAAATTTGACAAAAATAAAATAAAAAATAAATAATTATATCAACCTTAATAAACCAACGACAAAATAAAATTAAAAACAACTAAAAAGAAAGACGCCTCATTGGCAAGTGCATCAAAATGAGCTTTATTTTTAAAGAAAATAACCGAAAAATATGTGTTGGTTTATTTTAATAATTAATTTTTGTCTATAATAAAAATGTTAGTTCATTATTTCAATTTTGATTTCATTTCTAATTTTTATTGAGCAATTTAATTAATTTTTATTCATCTATACATTTGAAAACTATTGACATCACATTTATCGATATTTTTGTTCAATATTCATATCACTAATCTTTTCGGGGATTAACAATATCGTTGCCCACTATATCGAAATATCGATAGTTTTTTTGATATATCGAATATATATATATATATATATATATATATATATATAATATATATATGTTTACGTCTTTAATTCATGAACAGATGTTTCTTGTGACGGAATTGTAAAAAATAAATACATAAAAAAAAGAATGAAAATAATTCATGGGTTACGAGCTGCTTTATTTCAGTGAATTTTTTAGAATAGAATTTGTTAATATTGGGTAACAAAGATGAACGGTTTTATTCTTTTTATTCCAACTGACCTGATCGTAATAATAAGTGTATTTATTTCTGTGTTAATATGTGCCACTGAGCAGTCATGTACTTCAGACTTAAGCTCGTAGAGAAGTACATCAACTAGAATTATCAGAGCAAAAAGGGAAGGCACAGCTGTTATATATATAAAAAAAAATACAGTGATATTAGAAGGGGAAGGTTTCCCGGGAGGGCAGTAGCCAAAGGTTAATGACCAACCCTGAATATCACTGCCATACAAATAGCTTGTAATAAGCAGGTTCTTTTCTCTCGATCGTAAAAGAAAAACTTTTTGGTCCGGCATCCATCAGGAGGAAAACAATATGCGCCGAAGGTCGTAAAACACAATCCCCGAAAGAAAAAGATGAGACGATTTATCGTAAAGAGATTATTGTCGCGATATGAGAGAAAGCGGGGGACCTTTTTATCCTCTTGGGGTCCAGGCGCCCCCTCTTATAAATAATTAAATAAAAAGGGTAATTATGATTTCATAACGAGCTGGGGGTCTTTGTTAGTAGCCATCTGTCGCCGCGGCAGCTTAACAAACGGAATGATGAGCATTTTAATAGCTTTTACATCCGTTTATTACAGCTCATTTGACTCTATTGAAAAAAATAATTAAACGTCGATTAAGAGAAAATGTTTACAATTTTTTAAATAACTAATCGATCGAAACTTATCCATAACAAACTACGTATGGACCAGTTATACATTACTAACATAAATCTTTAAAATTTATTTTCTCCCCAACTCCAGAGGTTCATTGGTATAGTAATTCTTTTATATTTTATTGTAATAATACTTGGTTTCCTTTACTTATTCAAACACAGCAGTGACTTCCTCTTCATTGTTTTGTAACATTTCTCTTATTGTTCCTGGTACTTTTAGTTTTGTCTGATTGTTTCAAATTGAGGGCACTTGACTAAGGGTAATTGTTACACTTTTGACAGGTGGATGCTTCTATTCCTCTAAGAAAATACCTCTGTTTAAAGAGGCACAGACCAATTTCTTATCCGGCTCTACATAATTACTCCCCTTCTCAATTTTCTTGTGTTTGAGGCCCATTTGCTGCATTCCGTTTTTATTTTTAATAATTTCGATTTGTTCTCCATCTGTTTTCAAATACTGATATATTATTTCAAAACGATATATTATCGAAATTAACTTTTTTAATTAAAGTTGGTAGCATTTATTTTTTTCTTTGATTTATTTTTACAACCCCCCCAGTCAATACACCACATTTTTTTATGCGTTATGACGTGATAGCGTCAATTTATAAAATGTACTGAGAATTTTTCCAAAACTTTCTAGTAACATGTCTTTCTTCGACATGAAAACGTGTAAGAAATTTGAAGATAGATGTTGGGGATTTATCTAGGAGGTTCACTACAGAGAGTGTCGAGACATTGCGAAATGAATGGGTTGCCTAGTGTTTAACTTGGCATATGAGAGACTGTAAAGTAATTTAGGAATACAAGTAGTGCGAACCTTGGCGAATAGATGGGTTCTAATTATGGAATACGAAGATATAGACCTTATGGGAAGGACATGAAGAGTGTATTATCGCCATTCGAAGTCATAGAGTTCTCGGTTGCAATAATGAGGGAAAGTAATGAGTAAACAGGTAGTGAATAAAATGAAGTAATGAATGTACAGAATAATGTTAAGGATTGCGGTTCATGTGTGTTCTTCAGAAAATGAACATAATAAAATAACAGCTAAATTAGATATTATTAAAAAACTCAAAATTTAGTTATCGAGTCCCATATACTTGAAAATATTAAACCAATTGCATGAAAAAAAAGTTGATAAAAAAAGAACGTTCAAGCTGTTAGCAAGAATAGTTAAGGAAAGTCTTGAAAGGTCAAATGCTTCCCTAATAAAGAATTAAAAGATCGTTCGAATCAGTTAAGTTGTAATTTACATTTGAATAAACTAGTTTACAGTTTTAATTTTAAAAATGGAGTGATGTCTAGTTTCAAGGTTGAATATTCCAAGTTTTAAGTTGATTTCTGCCTTGATATTACGAATTTTAACCAAAATTAAGGACTGACATAAGTCTCGCAAGTTTCTAAAGTTTATTGCAGCAAAAGTTGAAATGTTTCCAAACTTGAGAAGGAGCAATATTGTCCAATTAAAACGTCACCTACTAATTCCTCTCTTAACAGTTATTCAGCAGCTATCTTCCGACGATAAACCAGGACACTTCCATCTTTAATCACATTTCTATTCTTTTTTTTAATATTTTACTTACAGTATTATTACTGCCTAAATAATAATGGGACCATTTAATGCAGTTGCGAAATAATTTTAAGCAGCTGAAAAGCTACTAGATGAACTTTAAAAGAAAACAGGGCTTAAAGAACTGAGAGAAAGAAATCCGTGAAATCCAGTTTGGAGGCAGCCCGTGTTTCCTCTAATTCTGCTTTAATACTTCTTCCTCGACTTTCCTTCTTTTCTTTTGTTTACGCCCAAAAAGTCCCATTAACTCTCTTTATCTAGCTTTTATAGCCAGTCCCAAGAGATGACTTGGAATATAAAAAAATATAAAGAAAAATAAACCCTGCATAAGTATTAAACAAAAAAAAAAAAAAATGTCTCAGCCATATTCATATTTATAAGGAACGGATGATATAATTTGGAAAAAATCTTTTACTGGCGACGAAATATAATACAATTATTACTTGAATAAATTTAAACATTATAGCCTGTGAGGTTTCAATATTTATTTGCCCTTAATAAAAATATTCAAGAAAGAATAATCATAAAGATATTAAGGTTTTGGATATTCATTTATAGTCATAAGGCTTAATAGTTAATTTGATTACAAAGGCACTCCCTAATAGAAGAATGGTGTAATAATTGGCAAATCTAAGCAAATGAATCCAAATAACCTTTAACCTTCGTCACAAATCCTGCTCACCTGTTTATTTAAATTTCATGCCATTTTTCCCTCTTCGACACAGTCGGGTGACATCGCTTACTTCTAGACAGAAGACACATGGAAACCACTAACCAGATTTAATAGATAAGATCTTGACCGATTATATAACCAATCAAATAGACTATTGAATAAAAAAATTAAAATTTTAGTTGACAACATATTGATGTTCTACAAAGTCTATCTCAACCTTCAGACTATAACTGGGGGGGGGGGGGAGGGAGCAGCAAACTTTTTTAAACACCATTTAAAATGCATTCAATCCTTTCAGTCTAAAGTACTATTGTCGATGCTTCCTTCTATGTAACCAACAAATCGCTGTACAGCTAACTTCATATCCCAATTTTTCTTGACTTAATCCCAAACAAATATTACGAATTTTATCAAAACCTCATTCATGATTTAAATCCTTTAGCACAGTTCCTTCCCATCTTCACCTCTTCTTACATTCCTGTTCGGAAGTCGGATATCTCGGATATTACGGAAGATAGGGAAAACATGAATGTACTCATTTCCATTGCAAATTTTATCAGCTTTAATTTTACATAGGACATTATTATCGCGAGAATGCATAGTTTCACTGATAAAAGTGAAAAACCGAAAAAATGTGACTTCAAATTTTCGACTTTAAAATCTCAGGTATGGAGTGATTGACTATTATTTCATGTATTAAGACAGTAAATACTCTAAACTTAAAGAGTTGGTACCTTTCTATATCTATAGGCCCTATCTAAATATGTTTTCTAACTATACAGGGTCTCTTATCTATCTTCACCTGGCCGCCATTTTGTATT